TCAAATGACAAGGAAATTTACATGTACTGTAGGTGAAATATATAAAATAAATATTGAATGTTTTTTAATTAGTGCAATGGAAGGAATATTTTATATACTCGGCTACGCCTCGTTGAATGGAACGGTCAATCGTTCACCTCACGAAAATATTCCTTCCAGTGCACTCATAAACATTCATTATTTGTATACCAAGCCCCATGTGAATTGATTGTGTCTACTTACTTTGTAGTATAATCTATCGAAGTGTACACAATGCAAAACTAGGATTTGATGCATACAAACCAGCATTTTGATGCATAATCAAAATCCTGGGTTAATGTACTTCTCAGTGTTTCTTATGGGGGGGGGGGGGGGAGGCTGGGTTTGCACAGGGAAAAGTGGACTAAACTGGGTCAGTTTGCCAAGTCCAAAATGCATCTCAACCTTGACTTTTATAACAGGATGCCCTCAAGGAGTGTGTGAACTTCTGACCTCCTTTTTTATATATATATTTTTTTTAGTTTTGACCATCGCGTCCTCGTTCGTGTTGCAGCATGTGTTGATCTCCTCGCAGCCGCAGCGTACAATCTTAGTTCCTCAAGGCTATGATTCAGCATCAGAATTTTTCTCCTGCGCACATTTGCTGCAGGCACTGAGCAAGGTCAAAGTTACGCCGAACCGAATTTTACTTTTTCTCCAGCATCAACAACCCCCCTTTTAAATCCCAAAACGAAAGACAAAATTATAATACTCTGAATGGCTATTTCCCGAACGCTTAGTACAGTAAGTTATAAATGCTTTCAGACAAATACAAATGAATTGTCAGGTAGGATTAGCATTGTTTTGATATGCCTTTACAATCTGTACTGTGCCATTGGGCAAAAGAGAACTTGCCATCGCTTCAAAATCTCTGAGCTTATGAACTTGTGACCCTACACTAAACACGTATCTGTATACAAAAAGCAGTAAGTTTCTAAGCCAATTTTGAAGTATCTACGTGCGCGCTGTTCCTTTGCCCCAAAAAACACTTGACATTTTTTTGCTATGTGGACCAGTGCTGAATAGCAAACTGGAAATGCAGTACCCTGACTGCGGCAGCCAACAATTTTTAAAAATGGGACAGAATTTACAGCATTCACCAGGGTCACAATACAGCAAATCACCCGTGTCTTAATATTCATTCCGGCTGAAATAATGAGAAAATGGCAACCCCATCCCCCCCCCCCCCCCCCCCCCCCCCCCGAAAAAAAAGGGCAGTGGGCTCAGCAAAAAATGGTCCTTGCACGCTGCGCATCCTGTTCGCGTTAAATGGGCAGTTGGGCATTACGAGAAAATTTCCCTGCTTCCAGTGAGTCAGTCGTTGCCTCGGGCAAGATTACACGACCTAATTTGTATTAACAGCGAACCCCCCTTCTCTTTTCTGCATACGTGCTGGACTAGAGACTGTGCAACAGTTCGGAAAGCTGTTAAAACATCGCCAACCAAGGCAGAAAAGGCCTGTATCGTCTTGTTCTTTCTTGACTCCAATTCGTGGTGCATTTTTATTTCTGCTCCATTGAAACGTATTGATTTTTTTTTTTTACATCAAGACAAACACAAGCTGCTCAATGATAATGAACTTCAAAAGTACATCAACACGAGGGCCTGTATTTCAAGTTATGTCAAAAAAATGTGAAAATTAACAACATTTATAAAAATTAACAACATTTATAAATTTATATAATTTATGAAGGGAAAAAAGGACCTGCACCAAATATGAATGTTTGAGCATTTCAATTTTGTTTTTAAGTGAACAAGAAAAGGTTTAGCAAAGTCACTGGATAGTCATGCAAAATAATATGCAATACAAATGAACATTGCTGTTCCCTGAATCAAAAAATGACATTCAACTGACGCAAGTTTTATTTTCTTTTTAAGAATTCGGTCTAAAATGTCCAACTGATGCAGGATTTTGCTCCTTAAATCCTTTTTTTAAGTATAACCTCTTATATACTCAAACATATTTCATAATTTTATGACTAAAAGGTGATGTACATAACATTATGTCTGTGTAAAACGGGAACATAAAGTCATAATTCTGGACCGTTTAGTACCTGCATCGTGTTTCAATTTGTGTGCAGTCAAATAACCTTGAACTGTAATGACACAAGAGTTCAGGTGGGACCATACCAGTGCACAGGTTACTCAATCAGAGTAAATCCCTTGATCAAAATGGAGAGAGAAAAAGACTACCAGACAAAATTCTAGCCAGGAGAGTTTGGCTGCTGGGAAACCCTCTGTAATCCCCAAGGTCAACAGAAATAATAAGCCCAAAAATCCCCAAAAGTCGTTATACATGGGGTTCACGACAAAGTGCCTGGGACAGGGGGCAGAGGGCGCAGAATTTCCAGGGGTGATTTATGGACGGCTGCAGGCATGATTTATGCTTTGTTTCTTGACAATTTCCAATTTGACTTTAACTAGTCTGCTGGGATTCGGCTGGGTGTACCAAAAGTGTAGGAACTACCAATCATTCGTAATCAAAGGCATTAATCTGGACTTAATTGCTTGTACAATTTACACTATACTGGGCTTAAAATTGAGCAGAATTCACATAACTAAACCTGTAAGAAATAAAGCGAAATGATACGTTTCACAAATCGAAATTACAGAGCAGACCAAACTAAGTCTACATGTACATGAATATCCTCATACGAAATGTGAATTTAACAAAACAATGGAACCCGAGAAATTAACAGGGTCGCTAGATTTCATTCTTTTTTCACCTTTCTTCCTTGCATCATAGGTAATATTTGGTAACCACAGAATGGAAAATACAATGTACATACATGTACATGTATGTACCGGTATGGCCAAGACAGCAATGCAAAACAAGATAATAACTATCACTATCAGCATTTTCAAAAATACCTTCTAAGTATTCAGTATCAACAGATGCTACTAAAAGCCAAAAGATATGCCTGTCTTTTCAAAACTGAGGATGTTTAAAGCTATAGTCCATCATTTGTAATTTGTGCATTTTGTTCGTTTGAAGCAACAAAAGGGTTCAAAATCTAATGAAGGATACTGAGCAACTAACCTGATGAAGTTTCAGCTCAGCTTCAGCTGTACATATCGAGAAAAACAGCATTCTAAGATCTCAATTTCAAATCAAAAGTTACTGAATCATGTTTTGAATTGTTTTGAATTGCAGCCATACGCAACGTAGCGCACTGATCCGACGAATTATAACAACCGCGCGCGCGTGTGCGTCGTTCCAATATTTGTGCGCGCTGCGCTGAATAACAAAACGAACTACTAATTTAAATTTTCCTACGGTGCTTCTTAAGAATCACCGTTGGAAATGCCTTCTTTCGTTGATTACTTCAAAATGACAGCTTCCCAGAAGGAATAATTTCACAGGGAGTTTAGTTCCCTTACTATCTTTCAACCAAGTTTGTTTTTCAACAATAATTACGCCAGTTACTTTTCGGATGGCTGCAAATGATGGACTATAGCTTTAAGTGCCATTTGGGGCAAAATCTTGGCAACCACCGTTGAAATTTATGTTGTCGATGGCCGTCTAGACACAAACCTACACCCATTGTTGACAAAATTTGATGAGGAAATCTGAAAATGTTGTTCAGTAATAGTATACACGTGCTTTCTCATTGCATTCATCATTGAAGCTTTTATGATAAAGGCGTTTGGTACAAGAAATTTTGAAATTTTTAATCTCCAGAATTTAGTCAATATTCTACAATATTGCAATATGTGGTCACTCACAAAACTGAACAAAAAGTTGGATGTACATGTATGTACAAGAGAAATATTGTTCTTCAATGGATTGCAGATAGTATCTAGAAATATTACACAAAATACTGTGGTTTGTTACTGATGGGGGTTTCCAAATAAGCATTCAATTCCCCAGTTATTGAAAATAAATAGCATTAGCCACAGCATGATGCCTCTATGCCCACAATAACCACAAAATACCGGTACATTCAAAATGCTGTTGGGGGACATGCATGCCACTTCCTGTTTGTACTTTTTAGCTTTGACAGTAAACAATGAAAGAGTTTATATTTTATTTAAGGGAAAAATTATTTGTTTATACATTTATACGATAAAAAAATAAACATTTTTTCTGGACCAAATCCATTCTTGTTACCGATTTAAATGTAAAAAATCCAAACAGTTTGGTAATATGATTACATATTTTACAAACAAGAACAAACTTAGCTCCATGCACATGAACCTTGAAATATTTTACAAATTTTCGTGTATACCATGGTATCACGACGATTCTTTCCCTATTTTTAAATGAAGAATTACATGTAAGGTTAAAGTAGATAATCTGCACTAATTGAATTTTCTCGAGCTTTAAAGTTTGATTTTAAGGCTCACGTCACTTAAACGATTAAATTGATCTCACCCAATGTAACACCATTAACAAAGATTCTGCAATCTTATCTTGTCGATCAGACAACACACATTTGGAAAGCTGTGTGTGCAGTATTCAGATTTTAGAGGGGTCGTGTAAACTTGCGCACACATTTTGCAACATGCATACCGGTAAAGAACATTGAAATCCCGATGCTGGCATATTTTAATGTAGTGGATAAAGCACAGTTCAAGAAATCAGTTTACTTCGAAAGGGCTCATGGTTGACGAAAAAATAAAAAGTGAAATACACTTCATGGTTCAATACACATACATTGTACATAATAAAATGCCATTTTTAAACCATTAATGCCGATTTTTTTTTTAATTGGATTAGGGATTTTTTGGGTCCTCGGGTCCGGCGGCGAGCAGGAGAAAAAATAACAAAAAATCTAAACATGCGCCCATAATGGTGCACCCAGTAATCCGACAAGGTATTCTGACACGAAAGTACTCAAACGAAATTTGCCATGAACTCAACGTTAAAAATAGTGGTGGGATTGAAATCTGGATTTTTTTGAAATTCGGTTCGAATGTCACTTTTCAGTTTCGATTTTGAAAAAAGGATATATTCAAAAGCAACCTTAAAAAAAATTAAGCCTTCCATTTTTGTGTGTGACACAGGCTAAAGAAAACAGCTGGAACATCCCCCAATTTGCTCCATGGTCTCTGATTATCAGAGTTCCCACCAATTTATTTGAACATTACAGTTCTGGAGTGTTTTTGTAAAGGCCCAGTGTTCATTGTATCACGGAGAAATAAAAACAATATTCCTCTTTGATTGAATCATGCAAACCATACCCAGTCATTGGGAGGGCATTGCATGCAGCACCTCACTTGTCACTTTTTGTTGGCATGCCTGTGAGCTGAATGGAAACTTCCAGTAAAATCGGATAACTGTTATTCGGTTTGAAAAAAATTAGGATAACCGGCTTTGAAATCCCTGATTTCTCCCACCACTAGTTAAAACTCAAGTAGAAAGTTTGCAGACATTGCGGTTCAAAAGTGAATAAAAAGCGTGTGAGTACTACTCGGAAGGCAACTTTTTTGGGGGGGGGTCATCAAAAGTGGAATTTTTGGCGTCGATTTAAAAAAAAATATCCATTTCTGATTTTTTTCGGCGGCGTATCTGTAATCCAAGTAAGTTAAAAAAAAAAATGGCCTAACTGAGTAATAATTATGGTTAATCCAAAAGATCAGGAAGAACATTCCATTTGATTATAAACTGGCCTGCATCATGGTGACATACAAAGTCCACAGAAACCACTTGTGTGCATTGTTGAATTTTAATGTCACTCACAATTTGTCAGGACCTCTGAAACTTCCGCTGTGATATAGTCTGTGGTTTTGTTCCTTGATTTTGGGCTGTTCTCACCACATCAATGTCATGATGCAAACCAGTCCCAGGGAAAGACAGTAGAACTGTCCTTACCTTTGGCGTTCTTCCTGGTGTTTTCCCAAGGCACCTCTGGTTCCTTTGGTTGTTCACTTGGCATGTACCATGTGGCATCCTCCTCTGCCATCAGTACATTCACATCCACTTCGCCCTGCACAGAGGACGGACCAGTTTTCTTTGTGGGAATGACCCCCGCTGTTTTCCTGGAAGCATTTTTCAAAGGCAAGGGGCGCGAGTCATTCAAATTGAACTGCTGCCTCTGCAGCTGAATTTGGGCCTGCAGAATTTTAAGTGGGTGTACTTCTTCGGGGGCACCTTTCTCGCTGCTAGGGTCCGTGGTATCGCTGGAGGTGGACACTGGGTTGGATATAAAGTCACCCGTGGAAGACACTGTGCTGTTGGAAGTTTTACTGGCTTTCATTGCTTGGCTTACAGCTAGTTTTGATTGCTCCATGTTCTCAACTTGGAAATTCTGGTTGGTCCGTGAGATAAGTCCGCCTTGAGATGAGTAAGACCCCGTAGATGCGGTCTCATTCATGGACTGCTGGGAGGTAAGGGAGGATGCTGGCGAGTGATGCGATTGGTTAATGCAAGTTAGCTGGCTGAAAGAGTCAACAGGCTCCTGATTAGTGGTGGACATTGTGGTGTCCGGGGAAAACACGCTGTCTAAAAAATCTTGTGTCACACTATCACTGTCCACAGAAGGGGGTTGGTGGTTGGACAGAAGACCAGGCATTGACTCTGAACTATTTATTTTCGAATCATTGGTCCTCCAGCAATTTGACAGCATGTTTGGTGTTTGTGTGGCTGAGCGGTTGGGGTTTTCCTCAACCAACGGCAACTGCCCATCACTTACAGGTGTCGATGCATTAAAATTTTCCAGGGATGGGGGCTGGTCAAAAGATTCAACACTCAGTGGGTTTTGAGACGACTTTTTTCGACCGCGCCTTTTCTTGGGGCCAATAGTACTGGCTGTGAGCATGTCATTGACTTCGTCTGACTTTTTGCGTTTGCCCTTTTTCCTTGGTTTCTCCTCTGGTCTTCTTGTGTTCATCTGCATGGGTACACTCTGCTCCAGGAAATCACTAAACTGAACCTGGTAGTCCGTAGGAATATTTGCTGTATTATAGGGTGGGGATCCAAATGAGTCGCCTATTGAGACCAATGGCGGGGATATATTCTGGCCGTTAGCAGTGGATGGTGAAAACATCTGCTCAGGCATTTGAGAAGCGTATGATGTTTGATTTGATGGGATAGGTGTATATTTCTGTCCCAAAATACTGCCGGTGTTATCCATAACTGCCTTCATTCCTACCGGGCTGTGTGACGTTGGAGTAAGTTTGGGAACAGAGCTATCCATGTCAGCGATCATGTTTCGACAGGCAGCAGACAAGGCAGCAATGCAGTTCTGCCCACCAAGTGAGGAGGAACTGTCACTGCTGTGGCTCAGGTATTCCATGTGAGATCCTTTCACTCCATCATCTTTTTTGTCCTTCAAGGACTGCGTCAATCGCTGAAGCTGCTGGACAGCATTCTGGGAATCTTTTCCTTTGTCCTGTGAGGTGACAGTGGTTGGGGTCGGAGTGCTTTGATTGGTAGGGGCAGATGTTCGAACTGGCTTGGTTGGGTTAGAATCTGGGGATGTTTGCGGTGCAACTCCGGCATTGGAACTGGGTGTGGATGGGGCGGACAAGGCAGCTGCACACGACTCAGTCACTGAGGATGGAGCACTGGTCATCTTAACACTTTGGTTCGTTGTTACGGATGATGCACTGGCTGATGGGGACTGGAAATTTTTCCCCATGCCCGTACTGTTGTCAGATGAGTTTGTCCCCTGATTGTTGAATAAACCACGAGCCATGTTCCCACCAGTAGCATTCGGGTATGGAGGATTTTTCACAGGCTGGGCCAGGCTACTGACAGTATCTGGAATTTGGGGCGCACCATCGATGGGGTTGATTCCTAAGGCAAAATCGTCAGCCATTGGGTCCCTTGAAAGGCGTGCTAGTTTCTCCAACTCTGCACTGAAGATCATATTTCGCCGTATGTCTGCTTCCGACTGAGTTGCATCAGTCGGCATTTGGTATGCTGGGGGACAGTTCTCATTAGCAATGGCATTGGGGCAGTTCATTGCATTATACCTCTGCTGGCCTTCAAGATATGTCTGATTGGTGTACGTTTCTTGGCAGCCAGCATTGGTCTGCATTGTGGTTGGACTGAATGCATCTGTTTTAGTTCTGTTGTTATAGTATGCAGTATTTGTGTTACCAAATGAATGACTGGCAACACCTTGCTGATGAGTTACTGAATCAAAGGACCTTTGGTTTGGGTTTTGCACAGGGAATGTCGAGGCTGCCATTCCTGCCTGCATGGACGAAGCACCGCTTACGAATCTTCCATCAAGTGATCGCAATCTTCCGTGCCTTGTAGTTGTAGTCCCAGCACTATACTGATTGTAATGTTGATACTGTCCATCCATGTTAGGTGTAACAACAGATTGGCCATTATTCACAGATGTGTCAGCAGTATTGTACCCCCTATATGGCATATGATGTGCGTTTTGAGACTGGTTGGGCATTGGTCCAAAGTGTCTTAACTTCTGTGACTGTGAGCTAGCACTCATGTTTGACTGACCCATGGCAGTTTGCTGTGAATTTGTGACATGTTTGTATCCTGGAGCTCGTGACTGACCCACCGCCATTTGATTGTACGCTGTACCATTTCCTCCTGCAAACGTTTTAGCGGCTTTGTTGTTGTAATTCATAGAAGTAGATGTGGGTGTGTACATATCCATACTGTTTACTGAGGGGTATTGATTTGCAGTCATTTCAGGGTTTGCAGATGGATATGGTGTCTGTCTTGAATTGTTATACTGCATTCCCTGCATGGTTGTTGAATTCTGATTCCTATGTGGAAACTGGGGGTACATGCTACTGCTGTCCACAGGCACAGAGTCCAATGAGCTCAGGGCCTTTGGGTTTGACATAGAAGAATGGGATGGGAACTTTGACTGTGCTGAATAACCCGAATCTGCCCAGCCATCATTACCTGTACCTGCTGTTGGATACGACGGTTTCTTGACGGCACTTGATGAGTAAGATTGCATGTAACTGCCTCCTTGAGTCCTTCTCATATGTCCAGCTGCCACACTGGATGCATTTGAGTCCAGTTCTGGAAAAGCTGTTTGATTGTACCCAGTCATACTCGAATAGGACTGGCTGGATGGAGGAAACTGGTTGTGTGCATTTTCATATGGTGCTCCAATGGGGTACGAGTTTGAACGTGTGTAGCTTGACACGTTGCTTTCTGCAGCAGGAACAGACATCCTCCTTGTCATGTTTTCTGATGCATAATCCGAGTTCGAAGAATGTTGCTGCAGAGTAGTGTTCATGCTGTTCATCCCTCGTGTCTGCCTGCTGTACATAGAACCTGACATGTACTGGTTGTTATAGGCATTCGATCTACTCACATGCCCATATCCAAATCCTTCAGAAGTTGTGTCACCTTGTCCATATTCGCCGTAAGGCATGTTTGCTGGATTTGTGGCCATAGTTCTGTTTGGCACGGGGTACATTTGTCCATCACTGCCGCCGGTGGAATGCAACCCACCCGACCCAAGGAGAGCATTGTCCAAGTCACTGCATTCAAATCCTTTCAAGCTGTCGGCGGTGTTACTGCCGGCACCGACACCGTACGAGTTGAACCCAGCGGCCGCGTCCATGCCTCCTCCCCCGTGATAAGCCTGTGCAGCCCGGGCCGGGTAGCCTCCGGCGCCCGCCACCGCCGACCGCACACCGTAGTCGACCCCGCCAGCTGTGACTGGGTTCCCGGTCATCACCGTGCTGCTGTTGTGCTGTTCGTGCGAAGCGGACGGCGGCAGGTGACCGGGTGAAAACATCACGCACACGGACCGACCGACCGTCACGAAGCGTGCTTCACCGGTGCTAAATGTCCATGGGCCATGCTTGTCAGAATTTCGAGCGCTTTATCTGCCGTAATAAAACTGCCATTAGGCACCCATAAGCATCCATAAAGCAATCACTATAATCTGAAGTCCACACTGAGGCCTGTGCTGCATGACAATAATCAGGTGATTAAAGTTGTTATCCAGAATTCAAGATGTTTTTTCGTGTGATCATGGTGACATACAATAATGTGATCGGAACGCGACTGTGAAACGTAAACTTATGTTGGACAATTTTCCACCATGAAAATGCTGGAATACTATGAACTGTCACACGGTTTTAACATTACTATTCACTGGTTTGCTTGCGTCGACGACAGTTTAACAACTTTTTAAAAGTTTCACGAGATCCTTCCCGTCTCTTTTTTTTCCCCCGAAAGGCTTTTAGGACGGGGCTTACACCGTGCTGTACCGGTAATCCAAGCTGTCATTTACGTTCACTAAACGGTACGATCAATGGTTGAGAGTCGGTGCATGCACACAATGAATGTCACGGAATGTCGATAGTCACTCGACCAGTTTGTGAGCGCTCACGCATCAACAAGTTTCATCTCAACGAGGCACGCTTCCCTTTACTTTCCACGGATTCCATACGAAAAAGATTGCTCAAAATGTCCTCCCTGATCAAAATTCACAAGTGTGTCGAAATACGAGTGAGTGCTTTCGCATGAAGATCTCACATTCCTTCAGTCAAATTCTGGTTTATTCCAAATGAAAAGTTCACACAACTTGCACACTATAGATTTGTACACTGAGTGCATGCTGTACGGTACGTACGCGTACGCACGTTCGTATGCAAAGTCGTCGTCTGCAAGTGGATCGCCCGTCCATTGTGTGTACAAAACGCCGTGCGCATGTATGAATTTTTAATGTAGAGTCGTCCATTCTCTGACGGGTAGAAATCAGCTTGTCATCACGGTCGCCTTTAAGGACTTTTTCAGTGGAAGGACATTTCCACAAGTCACCTATTCCAAATAGGCAAATTCCAACACGATTAATTCCCTTGAATAAATACCATAATTTATTGAATGCGCTTTTACGTAAAGTGGGCATGTTAGATATACAGTTATACCTCTTTACACAATAGAACAGTCCGAGACTGAAGAAATGGGCCTATAATAAAAGTTCAACTCAGAATTTGATACGCAATATTTGGACAGGTCGATAATGCCTAATTACACTTCAATGAACCCCTGTCCAAAGTGGGAGGGACTTTTTTTGGCTCCGGGCGTCAGACCTTTGGCATCCCGTGTGAAAATCTGGTGGCTGTCGGGGTCAACGCTTCCGCACGAGTTTCCCTGTTTTTCTGACATGATATATTTTAGAGGATTTCGGGGGGAAAAAGCCCTGCTTAATGATAAATCCAGTAATGTAATAAAAAATAATAATAATAATAATAATAAATAATATAAAAAGAGGGGAAAAAAGAGGAATTCCTTTTTATCGGGAAATCAGCCACAACTGAAACTGGACTGGATTTTCACCTCAGATCACGCTCAGATCATTTTCAAATGGGATGTCAACTGTGCATGTGTACTGTCCAACCATGGAGCTATAGCTCCATGGTCCAACAAATATTTTCGAGATCGATGTGTTTCAACAAAATCATTGTGTCGTGAAAATCGGCGATATTTTACAATATAACAAGATTGATAACTGATGATAGTCATCAAAACAAGAGCATCTACAAATGATCTTTACGGAACAATCTGAACTTCGTTAACTTTGAGGAATCTTAAAAATGTCGTTACCATTACCGAAAATGTAAACAGAGCTTGCCCGAAGAATTACCAGGAAAAGCCGGTGATCTATTCTACTGCCGTGTTGTGTACGTATTGTCATGGTGGAGCCTCCCCATAGACAAACTGTCTATCACTCCGCCCATCAATTAGCACCCCCATTGAGTACGACAATAACTTGCCAATCACTTGCCGCAGTGTTCGCCCTAATTGGGCGTGTCTTTACACAGCTCGGGGGATTGAAAGTGATCATCATTAGTTTGACTCGACAATGGGGGGCTATAAACAACCGATTATTTATCTGTATGGTGCCACGGTGATTGACGGCGGAGGAGTGTTATACACATGCAGCCCACCGTGTTCAACACACGGCAGAGAACTGTTTATGCATATGGCGCTGGAGCTCCATGTACGGTCGTTGCTAGGTGATCGTCGTCAGGTCACAACATCAAGCTTTTCAAACATGTTTACCAAAAAAATATGAAACATTTGTGCACCAATCGCAACACTGAATAATCCTATCGTTAAAGAGAACATCTTAAACTTGTGCTTCTTGGTACAAGTTCAATTATGGTAATCTGTTGTTAATTTTCCTCCGTGTTTGCTAAAGAATTCTTCCCGCGGATGAAATGTTTAGTCTCAAAATTTGTTTTGTGTGTAATGCAATTTCATAATAAATTGTAATTACACGTATTCCATGCATTTTTTAAAACTAATTTGTTTTCATGGGTTGCATTTTGTTGCAAACACCAGAGAAAATATGTTACAAAATAGATTTCACACATCGATTCACATTAATTCTAACGACGAGATTAAACTGTTAGTTTCCCCCGAGCTACTTTGCGATGTTTTTTTAAGGGTTGTATAGATCGACGCCCAAACAAGAAGCAGTAAAATAGTACCTTTTCTTCGTTAAAATATAACATACAAGAAGAGAACTTTATAATCAGTGCTTGTACAAAATATTCGCGGTTTTTAGTGGGTATGATGGACACAACAGGACACTCTGGTTTGACATAATTCAGTGGCGCGAAATCAGCGGATTTCATGCTAAATGTTTATTTCAACACAAAGTTATATCTGGCTTTTTTTTTAGTGGGGGGAAGCTTTCACAGCAAACGTATTTATGATATTGTATACAATAAGCACAGGCCTTCATATAATTAAATCTAATTAAATTTAATTACTCTTCATCGCCGACGGCTTTCAATGGATGATCAGTAATGAAGGCCTGCATGTGCATAGTACCAAACATAATAATGACTGGAAAGCCAATTTCATAAGCTACTTTTAGATGAAAAAATACTGAAGTTGCTCAATCCGTACAAAGCATATCACCATTTATTATTTAAACACGATGACCCTAAAACCTCTTTCGTCCAAAAATGCGATTTCAAGATTCGTCTTCAAACATCACCAGCGATAAAACCTCAGTTTGAAAGTTAACAATTTTTCAACAAAGTCCTTTTGAAGGCCCGTCTTTTAAAAAAAAGAAGTGGATATTATAAATCATATTGTTTGCCTAACCAGGGTTGTTCCTAACAGTCAGAATACAACTGCTTTTTTGGGACGAAACATGTTTTATTGTCATTGCGTTTAAATGGTGAAGTTTGACCGGATTGAGCAATTTCAGTAATTTGTTCATCTAAACGTAGCTTATGAAATTGGCTTTCCAGTCATTATTATGTTTGGTGCTAAAAAAAAAATTCTTCAAATATGATATTTTTTTTGGGGGGGGGGGGGGTTGGATTCCGCTTTTTGGACTCGCCCTGTCTATTTGGAAGTGGGTCACGGTCTGACGTACAGATCAGATGGGACATTCTCCTATTCGAAAAACACAGGAAAATAAACAAATTACTCCTCCAAAGTTCTTATACTTTGCTGAGAAAATAGAAGTCATCAACTGACCACATTAAATGAAGGGTGGATCATACCGTTACCGTGCAGTCAGTGTCCAAATTCTTAACTCGTAAAGTTGGCCGGGAAATGTAGCGTTTGGCGGTCCCTAGCTGAAAGCTTTGACACTTTGACATTTTATGTTAATTATTTTTTACTTCTAAATCTCAATTCCCTACATGAGAATTCCTTACTTGAGAATCTCAATTCCTTACAATGTTAAGCAAGCAGTAACAAATAATCCCCAGTTGTCATGCCACTGCAAGTCTTCTGTTTTCTAACAAGACGCGGTACGCCTGTAAGTTGGCCAATAACTTAGAAAAAAGGAAACACGTCGTCTGCAGAGGGCGCCATATGACAGATACATGAGATGTACGTACGTACGTACGTGAGGTTTATGCGGAATTGGAACAGATGGCAGCGGCGCGGGAAAGTTTAATCATTCAACCATTCCTTCTTATTCCTCCATGATTCAACGATGAATAATAGCGAAAACTGTGAAATCATGCTTGAATATGCTCAGTTTACTTATAAAAGTCCGCACGCAAAAAGGTGTTTCTCAATCTCAATGGTAATAATAGTCGGTGACTTGCCCAATTCCCGGACAAATTAGCCCCAGAAATGTGGCCAATTTACTGGACTACCTCCGTAAATAAAGGCCACACTTCCACCATGTACAAAAACATGTCGAACTTTGTCAATTTTTGATTTTCACATTTAGGCTTAGTTTGTAGTTTATTTTTGCTTTAGAAGCATACTCACCCTCTTTATAGGCTAATCAGAAATTGCTGCCTTTTTGATGTCTTTTTTTCGTGAAATTTCCAGATTCGTTTGCACACGTTTGCGTATCAAAATTTCAACATGAAATTTCGCAAAAATTAGACATCTGAAAAAGGCAGCACTTTCTAATTAGCCTATACAGAGGGTGAGTATGCTTCTAAAGCAAAAATAAACTACAAACTAAGCCTGAATGTGAAAATCAAAATTTGACAAAGTTCGACATGTTTTTGTACATGGTGGAAGTGTGGCCTTTATTGACGGTGGTAGTCCAGTAAATTGGCCACATTTCTGGGGTTATAAATACTATTACTAATAATAATACTAGTAATAGTAATACTAGTACTTGATTACTAGTATTAGTAATAATATAATTTACGTACATGTAAACATGACCTGCACTCCAGATCCAGCTATAGTTTATACTTAGATAAAGCATAGCGTGCACAGGTGCAGAAGGGTGTACAATCGATACTGTCTGTTTTGAAGCTGTTGCTTGGGTAATTCCTAACATCTTCCCTTTTTTTATCTGAGGGAATTTCATCATACAATCATGACAGTGTCAAACATTTTAATACAAAAATAGTGGTAATAGTACAACTACATCTATACTGTCACTGAGTCAGTTTCCGCGTGCAGTTTATTAAAAAAAAGAAGTGTTATGTTATTTTTGTTCATCCCGATGTACAGTGTAAGCAAATTAATATCAGATTGTGATGAGTTAGATTGGCTGCATTTCCTATTGATTTGCTTGGTGTTTGTTTTCTGGTAAACTTTTTGTTTTGTTTTCAGGTACTACTACTACTAGGGCCTATTTTAAATTATTGAGTTAAACCTGACTGACTGAGCTGACACAAGGATGTCTGTTGTTACAGTGCAGCTTGGTCAGTGTGGCAACCAAGTGGGCCATCAGTTCTTCCAAACTCTCATGTCGGATCTGACAAGCCAGGATGACAAGAAGCCTTGTCTTGGATACCACTCGGAGAGCCTTCGGCGCTTCTTTCATGACCCACAAGATGGAATCTTTCATAGAACGGAGGGGTCAAGAGCTAAGGTGCCTACTGCCAGAGCGGTTTTGGTGGACATGGAAGGGAAGGTTGTACAAAATGTCGCATCACAAGCAAAGAAGTCTGGATTGTGGCAGTATGACAAAAAGCAACTAGTTTCCAGGAAGCGGGGTGCAGGTAACAACTGGGCAGATGGGTTCCACGAACAGGGGCCCCGAGTTGAAGAGGAGGTTCTAGAACGAGTACAGAGGGAGGTTGAGACTTGTGATGCCTTTGCAGGGTTCCTGACCCTTATGAGTGTCGCAGGAGGTACGGGATCTGGCGTCGGTACTCGCATCACCCAGATGCTACAGGATAACTACCCCCATGCCTTCCTGTTCAATCATCTGATCTGGCCGCATGGCACTGGGGAAGTCATCCTGCAGAACTACAATGCCATCCTGTCGCTGGCGCATCTGTACCAGTCTGCCGATGCGATTCTGATCTCCCACAACGATGCCGTGCGGACAGTCTGCAGCCAGCTTGCTACCACGGCAAAGCAGAATGTCTCCTTCCAAGACATGAACAAGCTCATCGCGCACCAGATGAGCATCGCTCTCCAGCCAGCACATTTGGCATCATCGGGCAGGAGGCCCTCATCGTTTGGATTCATGATGGAGCACCTTGTTCCTCATCCAGAATACAAACTCTTGACACTGCGGAGTGTTCCGCAAGTCTCGGAGGCTGCCTTGGCCTTTAGCACCTTCAACTATCGCAGCCTTGTCAGTAGGCTGAGACAGATGCTGATAACTGGCACTGTCATAGAAGAAGGTAAATAATACTGAGACCGTGTCTGAAACTGAAAACCAGAGCCATGGCTATGTATATCATCAGCTTGTTTCCAAGCAGTTGTTATGGTGAAGACATGGACAAAAGCTCTTGCTTAACAACTACATGTATAGTTGGTCATGACAGAAATTTCCATTTCGCTCCATAGCGCCCTCGGCATCGGTAAACATTAACGTTACTTTCATTTCAAGCAAAGTTCTGAAATGCACCCTCTTGAATACAATTGTTCTTACCTGCTGGTAGCGCCCTTGCACAGCTGAGATTATGAAGTCATGTGTATTGTGAAACAAGATTTTTAACTAGAACGCCGATGCACATTAAAATGATGCGCTCTGCATTAACTTCTATTACACTGAATGGCAATTGCCAATGCATTTGGTTGAAGCTCATAAATCCTATAGTATCATGATTTTATTTTTCAGAACAGACCAATCTGGCACTGAATCAGTATACATTCATGGAGGTCCTCAGGTATGACACAATCAGTCATGTCATCTATTGCATACAACTGCTCCGTCAGAGATTTTCTTAAAGTAGCTGGCTCAAAGCTTCCGCCATTACTGGGGGCCTCTGTGAGTGTACAGTGATCATGCACCTGTATTGATCTAGACTCTGATCAACATTTTGAACCCCTCTCTGTAGGAATCAACTGGCACATGAAGTTACCATCTAAACCCTCGCCGTCAAGCCTACACAACAAGTCCTTGGCCGCCTTCCTGACTGTCCGAGGAAAGGAATCCGACAAGGTAGACCTTGCAGAGTTTGACAACAGTGCCCTCTATGCAGACTGGGTGCCCAACTCGGCAGCCTTCGCCGCCCAGTGGCACGAGAGACCGTTTAGCGGGCATGAGAAGACGGCAAGTCTTCTAAGCAACTGCCAGACCCCGGTCTGGATGCTGGACCAGGTGCTTGGCAAGGCGTGGGGCATGTTTGCCATGCGGGCCTACGTCCACTGGTACACGCGGTACGGCGTGACGGAGGAGGAGTTCATCGACTGCTTTGCGGGACTGGAGCAGGTGGTGCAGAACTACAAGCAGCTGTGATGTGTCAGTGGTCACACTTGGTTAAAACCACCATGTTTTGGAGGGCTTTCAGCTCTGAGGGGGCACAGCCCAACCACCTTTATATTGGACTCGCAAGGTCAAGCACACAGAGTTGTGGTCGAAGTGGTTGTGATTTATCACCAGTACATCTCAAGTCTGGTCACAAGTAAATCACAAATCAATTCGCAAGTCCAGTCACAAGAACCAGAGGACAAACAAAAAAATCCCCCAAAACAAAGAATTCCCCTGCCGTATTTCCTTTAAACATCTTGGGAGTTAACTTAGTTGGGACTGGATGACTTGTGATTGACTTGAATATGGGTAGAGGCACTTTTAATGCCTTGCATGCAGTGGACTAGTTACCCATCCCAACCCTGTTCATACTGTGAAGACATTAGATTATCTTGTCTCGTCTCAGTGTGAGGGACTGGTTCTTCCACACTTTCCTCCGAAGCCCACACCTCGAGTGGCCTTCGGCCTTGTGATGGGCGATTTGCAAAAAGACTTGCGATGACAACTAATCGATGAGAAGAACAATAATGCATAAAAATATCTTATAAATACAGATGCAAGTGCGGCAGTCTTTCCCTGCAAAAGTTGATCAATTTCAAAGTCACTATAAACTGGATGCTTTCCAGAGCTTTCTATAAAAACGATGAAATAATGAAATCACATGGATTTGTTTCTTTATAGTATATAAATTTTGTGTCCAAAATTAACATCACAACAATCATGAAATCCAAACTGAAAGCAATAGAATTCATATCAATATTAATTTTATTTGGTTTTCAGGGTAAACATTCAGTTGTTCATATATATATAATCATCTGCTCTATCTGGTACTGTACATGTACAAAAACCTATTCGGATGGGATTCTTTGTAATACCATACAGATTCTTTGCAATACCATACAAACCATACATTGAACTAAAAAAAAAGCATTTTACTTTTTACGGGTGGCAAAGCGGAAGTACAATTGCATATTAATGGTCACACGACTATTGAAAATTACAAGGTTCACAATGATGTACACGTATTAGCTTTAGTATTAAGTGACATAGATACTTCTCTGGAAACAAACAATTCAAGCCCCTTTTTGTACCAAAAGATTTGGAAATTTTAGGCAGTCGAAATGTTACAGACATAAAGAGATATTTCAAAGTACAAAGAATGGGTATTAAGATTGGGTTGAATTTTGAAAATCGTGTCTGTTGGTATAAATTCCAGCATTGTGAAAGGATAAATAATGTCCGGGACAGCGCCAGTGATCCATGATTTCTAATTAATGATTCAGATACATGATCCAAAACTCTAAATCTGTAATCTCCTTGACCCATTACTAGATGATGGATGTATAACATTTGAAAAGTACATCTTCAGGTTTATTCGCTGAGCTTCTTAGCCCTAACCCCTAGGCCCTTTTGGCTAGGAACCATCCTCAATCCTGCAAAATCCTCCATTTGCCACTATGCAAAAATCAGATTCAGCTTCAATCCTCCAAAATCATCCATTATTTCTTGAATTTATTCAGTGGAGGGGTGACCATTGCCTCAATCCTTCAAAATTCTCTAAGAATCACTGTTAATGGGTTGAGGCACTGCCGATGACATTCAGAAGCAGTGCGGATGATATTGAGCATAATGCAGGGCTCAATTATGCACGGCTGAACATAAACAATGCTGGGTACAGCCTATGAACTGAACACAATGCATACTCCAAAATCAAACGACACTTTTTGCCATTCCGCCTCAATCCTCTAAAATTCTCCAAAACCGCCTGGAGGGTTTTGGAGGATTGAGGAGGGTTAGGGTTTTTAAAGGTCTGTTAAGGACATCACTTAATACTGGAATTGCCCTATATACATGTAGTTACATGTACAAATGGGTTGAATTAAACAGGGGTGTGAGTGACCACTGATAAAAATAGCTGACAACAGGTGTAATAAAGCTGAACTTTGGAAATCTCCTATACTTTGTACACAGCAAGTGAGGGGAAAAAAGCTGAAATCCAAAACAAAAAGAAATAATAATCATTTGGGAGGCTAATCATCCTTACTCGCAGCTGGTATGCTGAATTGCGAAGGACGCGGCTGCAACGTGGTCGGGCCACTGGCACGTAAAGGCGCCTATGGCTGCCGGCCACATTGACCCATAATGACCACGGAGCACAGCCTGAGATCGAAAGTGTTTGATTTTTCCGGGGAGGAAAACCGGAGGGCCCGGAGAAAAAAACTTGTGGCACAGGAGAGAACCAACGCACAAATCGGCTTTAAAGCTGAGATTTCACACCCCTGATTAAAGCAGCGTCAGTATCAGTGCATGTACAATGGAAATCATAAAAAAATGTCAGTTAAAATGAAAAAAAAAAGATAAGTACAATAAGCAGAAAACAAAGTGCAATATGGTCCCCCACAGTTGGGTTTAAGACATGACATTTAGAATACAATTATTCAGTTTATTATTTTTCAGGGACTCGTGTTAATATTTTACTAATAAATTATCACTAAAATTTACGACATTCACGACACCTTGATGTATACAAATGACACACTATAAATACGTTTGCTCATAAAGTATTTTCCGTATTAATATTGTCCTGTGTCGAAATGTGCATGTCATTGACATGCAGATCAGCTGTGTATTGTATTAAAATTTACAATATCATTTTATGTCGAATTACTTTGGCAAGTGCATGTATCATTAAAAAAATCAATCAGTAAAATAAATAATACACTCAGCTGGAATGAATTAAAAATGAGTTTTGATAACAATGAATGGGTATTGTACTCGATGTCACAAATGAGGTTTTTTTATTCTTAGAATTTGCTGGTACCCTTCATAGAATTTTGAAACGTAGTCTACAGTTGAGATGTAACTTTTGTTAATCATCATAAAATTGCAGACCAGTAAATTGGTCCGAAATTGCCTACGCCGGCCAAATCACGATTTGCATGCCCTCAAAATCTTCAGTATTTGAGCATGCTGTGGGCCATGAACTTGAGGGCTTGTAAAGAAAATGGGTGGAAGCCATGCACAGGACTGTGAGCTTGTAGTTCTGTTCAATTTGGATGAAATTGGGGCCCTTAAAGCGCTCTATTTTGCAATGGAGTGTAGACATCGTTTTTCAAAATGGCGATGGGCTTCAGGACTATTTTCAGGGGTGATCATCTTCGGATGGAAATTTCTCCTAAAAGTCATCAGTTGACCCCCCCCAAAATTGAAAAGAAAATGAAAGATGATGATATAAGCTTTAATTTGATGTGTGACTCGAACACCTCGGAGAGTTGTGAGTATTTTCCCCAAATTTCTGAAGTGGGAGCATTTACCATTGGGGTCTATGGAAGTTTATTTACTGGTCTGCAACCATAAACGACAATGCTGATTTATTCACGTCTCGAATTCCTATTGACCTTATTCAAGAGGAAGCCATTTTTTTATCGTGTTCCCTGAATTTTATTTACGCATACGCGATTTTGTCACGCGATTTCACACATTTTTTTTCTATAGACGCATAAATCCATGAGCGCATTGACATGTACATGAAAATCGTGACCAAAAATTTTTTACCGAGGTGCAGAGATATTGTGAAGTGTACGACACATCGAATAAAGACTACAAAGACCTTGAAAGAACGGACAGCATATGGGAGGAAATTGCCACGTTTCAATATCCTTGAGCGCTAATTTCAATAATCGCGCAACATACCGCGTATTGGTTAACACACGCGCATGTGCGACATTGCCGCGCGACATAGTCATTGCGACAAAAAAAAAATCACGTATGTGTAAATAGGCCTTGTAAACTGTTGAATGGGATGGTGCCAGACTATTTATGCATTCCAAGCCTCACTTCAATTGTTAAAAAAGTGTGGCTCAAAACAGCGTGTTTATTAATCACAAATTTTAAATTATTCAGCAGAACAGACTGGTAACAATTTGAAATTAACTTTATTTCATTACTTGCATTTCTATTTGCAAGTTCCAAAATTGAAGATTTTACCTCGCTTTCAATTTAATATGGCCGACTCGTGAATAAAGCCTATTGACTAGTGTTGTAGTCAAGACGTAAGGAATCGTCACAAGTCCATCACAAGTCATCCGAGTAACTTATGACCTGACTTGTGATTGACTCATTTTGTACTTGTGATCAACTTACGATGGATACAACTACACCTGTGCATCCAACTGAACCAGACTTTATTATAACCAAAACCCATGGGCAGTTTACGTCAGCCAACAGCACGGCTATCTGCCCACACAACTGGCACTGGAAAATAGGTGGGCAGCACTAGTCACTGCCAATTTCTGGTTATTGATGCCTTACATAAACCAGGTCCAGTTATTTTCTTCAAACCGGATGGGAGAAGTCTTATTACTTTACATACTGCTCCCTCGGGTTCGCCACTCATGGTAGAAACATCTGCTAACTGGTTACAGGTGATATAACCCCTACCCCTTGCAGGACATGAGATATAGACTTTACATTGGGTTCACCAGTTTTCCGGGTTACTTTTTTTTTGGCAAAGACGGGAGACGGAGTTTCCTGTGTTTGTTCCTATTGCGCAAACATTTATCGGCGCGGGACGCCAGGTTGAAACCTGATGCTTTAAAGAGGTTGTGGAATGCTCGAAGACATTTCCGTAATTTTTCGGGTATATGTAGCCTAAGGTGTGATGAAATAAAAACGACTATTGTTTCTGTCATGAAATGAGTACAAAGGGTACTTTTGAGAGCTGTTTTTCAAGTCCTGTCATGCCTGTTTCGACCCGAACGTGCAATTTGTGTAAAAGTCGTCGTTGCGGGCAGCAAACAAAACACAGTAAATCGTGACGTAATAAACAGGACTCCCGATGCAGAGTAGCATAAACGAGTCCTGTTTATTACGTCACGATTTACTGTGTTTTGTTTGCTGCCCGCAACGTCGACTTTTACACAAATTGCACGTTCGGGTCGAAACAGGACCTGAAAAAAAGCTCTCAAAAGTAACCTTTGTACTCATTTCATGACAGAAACAATAGTCGTTTTTATTTCATCACACCTTAGGCTACATATACCCAAAAATTGACGGAAATGTCTTCGAGCATTCCACAACCTCTTTAATATGATGTATTATTAAAACTGGGGGAAATGCGATTTTTAGTTTAGAAACGGCAGAAACAGCAGAGGCATGGGTTGAATTTCCTGGCAGGCGATTTGCCAGGTCCCACGTGGTCGGGGCATAAAAACTAAAATGTTTTAATTGGTGCCACACGTTGGGTGAAAATATTTTCCCTGGGAAATATTTATATGAGTTGGGTCCACAGAAGTGATGGCGTGCTGGCTTGGCTTTTTGGAACGTGATATGGCATACCAGCTCCCACGGGGGGAACCAGCCACAGACGGGTGTGTTACACGATACCCACTGATGTATAACTGACTTGGTAAATATCAGTGCTACTAAAAATAGCCTGTTTATAGACGTCCTTATTTTTAGAAATCGATGATATTATCAAAGTCCGGCTCAGAATACCACAAATATTTTTTGTTCCAACATTAAATATTTTGAGTTTTCCATAAGAGATGCAGAAAAAATATCAACTTTTGAAAATAGAATTATGATCTGAGCTTTTTCGCAGTGAATCAAGAATGGTTAATGTTGCCGTTTGGTTTTCAAAGTGGCAGTATCAAATTAATTTTAAAAAGAAATTGCTGCGATGATCGGAGGTATTGTAAACATCCTTGTTTACATTGTTCGGAAAGCGATGAATGGATGCCTCGTGGCACATTTCAATGGCTTAGCATTTTCCCCTATTTTCCTTTTTTTCACGAGTGCCCTTTTTTGTGCCTTTTTTTTGTTGTTTAACGACCCGCGAACATCAGCAATTGTGTCGCAAAGAAGACTGCCACCTATTGTCTGATAGCGCCCATGATCGTCCACTTTGAACAGTGCCCTAATTGGAAGATGGTGTCCAGCCCCATAAGCAAAAAGCAAAGCGAAGTGCATGCCAATGTAAGATGCAGAATTTACTTTAATACAAAAGGGACGCAATAACATAAACCTCAAAGCCTGTGCATGGGCTAGCAAATCTACACCAAGGAATATGCTAAGGTTCTGTAAGCACAATGTTCATTATGCCTAGCCATGAAATAAGCCCCTGTTCCTAATCACAGTGACCAAGAATTGAGATTTGCTGAAGTTGAGAAAAGCTTGCATATAAAAAAAAAGCGGCGTTTGTAGTCTGCTGCGTGACTAACACTTTCTTTTGAAGTTGAGGAAATTTATGACAATGTCTGTGTATGGCGCAATTTGGACCGTAAAAAACAGACTCAGTGGCTGTATTGCACATGCCTATTAGGACAGTGACAGGTCACGTGTGAGGGTTAGAGTCCATATAAGGTGAGAGAGACCAGATTTCATATGACACCATCACATGGGCATTGCCTTGGTGATCCATTAAAAAAACCAGGTTGTCTTCACACTATTGTCATGACGAAGACGGCTGTTGGCTGACCTCATTAAACTTGACCCTCGGACTACCGTGGGGAATACTGTGACCGCTTGACGTGCCTCTGTTGTTGGCTGGGGGTGGGTGGGGCTTGGCTGCCGGGGAAGGGGGCGGAGTGGACGAACCCGTCTGCATGTTGACGTCGTTGATGATCATCTGGGCTATCTTCAGTGCCATCTCTTCTTTACTCTATTACGGATACAGAATATAGACAAATGTCATGCTTGTTTACAATTACATATTGTTGTCACTCAACTTTTCGTTGGACAACAAAAAGCTCCATTCTATACTGCATGTTAATCACTTGAAAGATGTGTGCTTCTATGTGCACGATAGAAAGCAAGCACACAACTCTGAAACATATTCTGCCAAGCTTCAGAGAGTAAGAATCTGAAGGAATATACATACCGCATCCTGGTCGCCTTTCACAAGTTTCTTGAAGGAGAACTTTGAACCTGTATAGAAAATATGTAACATGAAATTTGTGGTTTAACAAAACTGTAGTAACATCAGCTAAGACCGGGGTCAATGTGTATGTCGGCCTGCTGTGCCTACTCATTTTGAAACTGCTGAAGTATACAGGAATATCGAGGAGATTAATAATCAGTCCAAAAATGTACTGCAACTCACCTGAAGCCTTCTTGTTCATTGCCTCTGGGTCTGGCTCGTATTCGGCTACAAACTGGCCCAAGTGATTCACTTTGCCAAACGTCATTATTCTGGAACAAAAACAAAACAAACTTTTGCTTTAAATTAAAGGGAAGCATGGCCTAGTGGGTAGGGTTTGTGACTCGCGATTGGAGGGTCAGGGGTTTGTATCCAGCTGCTGGTCGTTTGCTGTGTCTTTGGTCGTTTGCTGTGTCCTTGGGCAAGGTTCTTGACCCTCACTTGCCTCTCTCAACCTGGGAATATATCGTTATTTCAGACAATAGCTAAGGAGGCATATGTGATGGATCGGTATCCCGACCGGACAGAATAAAAATACACTTTATTCTCAGTAACAGACCATTTTTTTCAGTTATTTTATGTTAATGGAGCCAGAGAAAAACACTGTTTTTACCAACTCCACAGACTTTTCCTATAAATGCATTACTTCAACAAGCAAACAATTTCATCAGAAATTTATCAATATCTTGGTTTTGATACTAGCCAATGCTCTAAACTTGTGTCCTCTAGCAATTTACTTCAACAACAATCCACTAAATATTAACTTGTAATGACTAAAGTAGAACTATTCAGACTGATATTTAGTAGACAAACTGGTGTAAAAATGACCTCCAGAGGCACCAGCCTAATAGCTTGGTTCCGGTCGGCATGGACTCACCCAGGGTCTGGTCTCTGCCACAGCAGATCCGGATTGAGGTCCAGACTCTCAATGTTCATCTCGCTCTCCTCAAACAGCTTCTTGACGTTGCCTTCGGCCAGGAGGGTGTTGCGTGACTTGGGCTTGTCGTCGGTCCCCGGTGCCCCGATGCCGGCAACCGATGATGGGTCTCCTGGGTACATGGCAGCATGCTCGCTCTTGATGGTGTTGATGAGTTCAGACAGGAACTTATAGTACAGCTCGCTTTGCAGGAAACCGGGAAAGTATACCTGGAGTAAGCAACAAAGTTTTAGTAGCGTTACATTAATCAAACCCACACTGTCCTGGGTCTACCTCTTGAGGATGTTTCTAACTTCTTCGCAGACTGTCTACTTGAGAATCTGTTGCTTTAACTCACTGCATATATGAAGCGCACAAGGTTAAAGAGGAAATGTAAGTAACAAAGGGTTCTTATCCAAGGAAATGACACACATGATCCCTGGCAACAGTTGAACCCAGTGTCTTTGAAGTCAACCATAAATTCATGGCTGTGCTCTGGACTGGAATTTGCCGAACAAAATTAGAAGCCATTTCTGCACTGGTGCCACCCTCACGCGCATGCATTCTTAAAGACGGGGCGCACATGCATCTTGGTAACCATCTTGGTCGAAGGGGTACAAAACGTTGTTTGCCTCACCAGTGACTGGGAGCATACAATCAGGGGGCCCAATTTCTTGGCTCTGCTTACCGTTAGCGACAAATGCCTGCTTACTGTATGTATGCTTATGGTAAGCGTTTTTCATGGGTTAGCAAGGAATTGTGGCTTCTGCACATGCGTACATCCCGTAACTAAGGATTCTGTGCTTACAGGGTTAGCACAGAATTTTTCTGCTAGCGCGGTTAGCTCAAATTGGTGATCGTAAGTACAGAATTCTGTGGTTACCAGAGCAATAAAATTGGGCCCTGGTTAGAATGAAGTGTTACACTAGGTATCCTTTCACTTACAGTTTCCAAGGTGGTGTAAGCCTGTCGCATGGGCGTCGTAAAGCAGTCAGGTAGGGGGCCACCTTCCCTGCATATGTTAGTCTCCACCTCCAGCCGCATACTGTCATCAAAGCCGATTGGACATGTGGCTTGCAGTGAGAAGTATCTGAGTAGATTTAAAAAAGAGAATAAAATAAATGTATATGCTTTGAAACTTTCGTCTGCAGCAAAAGGGCACAAGCAATAAACCTTTGACCCATCACAGAAAACGCCACATTGTAGCATCGGCTTCATTTTTACAATTGGCGTTTTACAGTATACAGTCATAGCCACAAACAATGCTGGCTCCGGCACTTGGCTATGGCCACGTGTGTGTGTTAACTGTCAGCCACAGCCATACAACTTAGGTGAAGCCTTCTTTTTAATACCAATAATTACTTCAATGTGACACTTACTTATCATATAGCACCATAGCATCACTCTGTGCTTCCCCACTGTCGTACTGGCCCTGCTCGGATAGCAGATGCTTCTGAAAGTTCTCGGCAGCCAACCAGAACTGTAGGAGATGCACGGCACCTTCCTGTTCCAGATACTAGGCAGGGGAAATCAAACGGGGTAGTCAAGACACTAGACTTTGAGTTTATGGATGTGTGATTTGCTTACGATGGATTGGGAACCCTTTCACATGTATCCAATAAAGTCTGAGTCAATGTCACAGAATAAGGAAGTTTGAACAACATGGACCAATCCGGTGCCTCTTCAATGCCCCACTACATGTTCTAGCCCCATGCGTCATAGGCACATGCACGCATATCGGACCTTTGTGCACACATGATGGATATTAATCATGGCAATGATTAATAATAATAACCGTACTAGCCCAGGTGGACTCCCTTTCCTCCCTACGTAACGGAGGGAGTCCAGGGTATAAAGTGCTCAAAACCGGGCGAAAATATTTATGACCAGTATTTTCAATATTTTTACCTTGTTGGAGAAGCTAATTATTACGTCGTAGTATTCTATGTAGCCTTATCTATTGGGCCGCTGGGTTCAGAAATTCCATATGCGATGCTGACCGACCTTAATCTGGAAAATAAACTCGAAAGCAACGTTAAACTTGTACGTGTTAGTAGACTCTTTTCATCAGTTTCTCACTGCCGAGTCTATTCTAGTCGTACATGATGTACATCTGTGCAGCGTGTAGTCTGGTTCCCTAGACCGGACAATTATTCTCGACCCTCATATCACGTCTGGTCCGGGGGCCAGACTATGCAGCATAAATATGCAGTGCGCACGCGCGATTTGCTTAGTAACCACCCTCACTTACTTGAAGGCGCGGTCGCTAATCCAATGACCGAGCGTGTTTTCGCGCCAGTTACCAGAAACACGTTTCGGCCTTGGTCATTGGTTGAGCGTTTTCGTGACATCGGTTGGCTGGAGTGACGTCACGGTTCCAACCAAAGCTAAACAAATGAGGGCGCTAGCGTGCGTGCGCGCTTTCGTACGCACATACATTGTACATGACGTACGACTCTAGGAATAAACTTAGGAAAAGAGACTACAAACACGTACAAGTTTAACGTTGCTTTAGAGTTTATTTTCCTGATTAATGTCGGTCAACATCACATATGGAATTCCTGAACCCAGCGGCCCAATAGGTAAGGACACATAGAGAATGTAGGCGTGAAATAAACTTCTGCAACGAGGTAAAACGTAACAAAAATCTGGTCCAAATTGTGAGTGGTCTTATGTAGAGAATTCTCGTCCTGGACGTTAATCGTAATGCAATGAAGACTTCGTCCAACCTGGGCTATAACCGTACATGTATTTATATAGCGCCTTTTCCAAAGGATACAAAGCGCTGGGGGAGAATGCAACCAAAGACAGGTAAATGAAGTATATGGACATATGAGACCCATTATGTAGCACCTTTTTGCTAGGTGCTGCGGCGCATATTGCAGCCACTGTCAGAAACACCGGGGCAAATCCCTTCTCTTAGCAACGAGTGTTACTGAGTTCTTTAACATGCATTACACAACACACGGGACCTACGGCTTTACGTCCCATCCAAAGGACGAAGCAATAATGGTAAAGTGCCTTGCTTAGAGCACAAGCACCATGTTCCCACGGTCAGGATTCGAACCCATGTACCACGGCACACGAGTCGAACACTGTAACATTTGGACCACAGCGCCCCATGATTGGTCAAATGCAAGTCCCAACAAGCAGACTATTTAATTTATGACAGGCACATTCAATTTAGGCTGGTGCAAATCCTAGTTTGAATTACCAAATACTAAATTACTCTGAAATGCACAGCACTAAAGTTAGGTAAATCAAAGAACACACTACCAATGGAATGCACGAGCCCATTTCACCAACAGACTTTGGTTTCACCTACCTCCATGAAGTAGAATGTTGCAGTGTCGTTATATAGAATATCAGCAAGGTAAGCCTTGCCTGTGGTTAGTACATCAATCTGGTATTTACAATGGAACTCACTCCTCAGGAATGGCTGGAAAAAGCTATCAAAAATGAAAAGGAATCAAGAAATTGTTGTTTTATACTGTGCACCAAAAAAGGGCAGAAAAAAAACAGAGCTCAATTTCCTGGCGAAATGGATTCTGTGTAAGAACTGTCAGGGTTCCCACTGAAATCTTAAAATAAAATTCCATCACTTTTCCAAGACTTTTCTTGGACAAAATTAAGGCTTTCCATTAGGGGTGTGTATCGCAACCGGGTACCCGAGTACTTGACCGCTGATGTCAGTAACCAGTTCCAGATTATGGGATCGGGTAACCCGTAACCAACTTTACAAATTACTCTGCAACTTCTAAGACAGTGTACAAGAAATATTTGAATGCCATTTGCGGAGAATTTTCAAAATGAAAACCAGGCTACATGGAAACCAATACAGATTGCACGTATTTGTGCATTTTAAGGCTCGACAAATGACGCTACCGACAGTTGCAGTTTACACTGCAAAGCTACAAAGCTCTTCAGACAACTTCTGGGATTTGAATTGTGGGGTTGGGTATCCGTGTTTTACTTCAATGGTGGTATATCCGGTTCCCGTAATACCCGTAAATGTATACCACTACTTGCCACGACAATTTCTGCGCTGTTTTGGCATCTTAGGAGCCTACTTACAATACACTGGCCAGTCAAGGCATAGGACGCCACTCCCTTTCAGCCTTCCAGTTTGACATAAGAAAACTGACCATCAAAAAAGCATCACAGTGGTACACTGAACTTGCAGCAAGTATAGAGCACACATGTATATAGAGGTAGTACTTAGGGGTGTGCATTTACGGGTAGTACAGGAACCGGGTACCCGATTAAAAAAAAACACGAGTACACGGGTACCCGTTAAAGGAGCCAACCCCAACATTCACATCTCGGAAGTTGTTGTTCAGATTTTTCATAAAGGTCCGCACGACAATACTGCCTTATCGGTGCATAGCCCTAGTAGTACTGGAATGCAAACTGGAAGACTGCCATGCAGCTACATATTACACATCATCACGTATGGGTTGTGTGGGATTCCACAACTTTTCATGACTTTTTTCTTGGAATATCAACTTTCAATGACTCCTTGTAAAATAACAAAATTCCAGGACTTCCAAGTTCATACAGTACATTCTACAGTTCCTGCATGGAGCCGACAGACTTGCCTACAAGGAAGCAAAGCAAAGTCTGTCATGAGCCAATGTGGCCCATCAGGCGGGTGCTTATCTCCGGTTTCAGTAGCATGAAACAACTGAGAATATTTCTACTCTTGCTGATTGGGATGCTAGTCCATCGCAGGTTACCTCTAGCTAATGCCGGTACCCATATGTATACTCCTGGGTGGAAAGAGGCAAGCGGGAGTAAAGTGGCTTGCCCAAGGACACAACGTATGACCAGCAGTTGGATTCGAACCCCTGACCCTCTGATCACGAGTCACGAGCCCTAACCACTAGACCACACTCCCCACTGACTTGTCTACAGTTCCCACCCCCCCCCCAAAAAAAACCCCTTGTTGTTTCCACTTACTGTGTCTCCATGACATCAAACACAAAATTCTGTGTTGTCTTGAAGCAGTCTGGGTTCAGCCAGCCTTCTTGTGGACACATTTTTGCTGAAATGCAACAAAGAAATTGATATCAGTTTCTTTCTAAACCCTCCTGCAAGTAACTCATTTGATAGCACATCTGCAGCCGATTTCACGAAACCTTACGCACTGGCGCAAATCCGCTTGCGCCACATTTATTGCGTAAGCTGCGCAACATTTCACGCTGCGCAACATATGACTTATGACACATTTCACAAAAGTCTGATAGTGTGTAGGTCCACGACTTGTGCAATAAATTATGTCGTAACTTGCACAATCATTTTAGGTGGCGTTAGTTGTGGCGTAGTGACTGAAATTTACCTATTTTGCCAGCAAATTGAGATCGTTGTGGAACATGTTGTTGCACAACTTATTAAGGTTAATACAAGACACTCACAGCTGCTTGTTTAAGTAAATGAATTTCTATTTTACTGGTGACAGAATCATTAAAGTTGCCACACGATTCCAAAGAGAGTCGGACCAAATAATTTTCAAAACGGCGGGCTGAGGAGATCCAACGACTGTTTGGTGAACGAACAAATTCATACACAAACAGCCGTCGTAAATGCTGTTATTATCCTCGTCCAAGATGTTTAAATTATTTAAAATGTTGCGCAGCTACGCCAAGTTTCGTGAAATCGAACGTAAGTCTATTGCGCAGCTGCGCAACAAATTTGTTGCGTAAGTCTTACGCAAGGTGCAAGCTACGCACTGTTTCGTGAAATCGGCTGCTGGTCAACTAAAACGAATTAGTCTTGGCAAATCAATTAACACTATCTACCAGACATTCAAGAAACTATTGGCTAATCATTCTTCTTTTATCAATGTAAAATGAATGAAGGTCTGTATCTTTACCTATGACATCCAGTCTAATTTCATCGGTGATTCCAACAGGCAGAGGGGCATTCTTGCATAAATATCTAGTGAAGATGTTGGATGCATCTCTCTCTACAGCTGCAAAGGGAAAAAGGGCGATGAATACCGATAACAAACTGAGGATTTTTAAATTGACAGTGTATTTCTACAGTTTTGTTTCTTTTGTATCAGTCCCGTAACACCACAAAAGTTTCTATTCTTGACTGTGTTTCTGTCATCAAATATTTGTGTAAGCCCTTTGATTTTTCAAAAACGATGAATCTAGCTTGATTTTATTTTTTGTCTTTTTAAGATTTAGCAATTCTTAACTTAGGGTTTCTTACACATGAAGTGGAAATTTGCACTACGGAACGTCACTAAAGTGATATTTACAGGTGACATCACGTGACTATCAGTAAAAAAACATAGCACTTTCCATAGTATCAACAATCTCAAAGCGCTTTATAATTATTCCCTGTTTATCAGGCCAAAAGACCACGCGGCAGCCGATATCAGTGCACATTCGGTCCTCTACCCTCACAGGTACCCATTTATACTCTTAAGTGGAGAGAGGCAAAGTGTGGTAAAGTGTCTTGCCCAAAGTGTCTTGCCCAAGGGCACAAAAACACCATGTTCCTGGCAGGGTTCGAACCCGTACTATCGTACATGAGTCAAACACCCTAACCACTTGACCATGGCATTCTATCAGTCTTATGAAGAAGGGCTGGTTCTGAAAGAAAGTTTTTTTTTAATATATCAGAAAATTACTTTCTCCATCCTCAGTAGAAAGGTTTTTATATTTCTTCAATCTCCATTTTTTTTTTTAAAGAGAAATCATTTTATCCATACCTGTTCTCGGATCAACACCTTTCCATGAGTTGGTTCTTCGGTGGCCGAGTTCTGCTGGAGTAGTCTCAGGTTTCACTCTCTCAATGCCAGCATGTGAGTCCGATTTGGCTCTTGAGTGCATTTTAACGTTCGCATCGCTCATCTGAGCGTTCGCTTCCTTACTGTCAGTTCGCTCATTGTTGTTCTTGCCCAAGTCGGCCACCACACCATCCTGGTTTACGATTGGTTGGCTCGACTGGGGCATGCTGGGATTGGAGTCATTGCCGAAATAGCCGTCGACCGGAGGCGGGAGGTTGCCATCGGCAGGAGTTGTCGTCCTGGAGCCGGCTCGCGGTCTATGCTCGGTGATGCTCTTACTGGCGTTGGTCAGGGACTCGGAGCGGAGCCGGGACCAGGAAGCGGCAGAGAAGCTGTCGGTAGCTAGCCAGAACTGGACCAGGTGGGCAGCCCTCTGGGCCTGCATGAACTGGATGAAGTAGGGCAGGGCCCCGTTGTCGTGCAGGACCTCTGGGAGGGTCCGACACAGCCGGGATTTGGTCTCAATCTCTGTGCTGACAACTTGCTTGGCGCCTGAAAAACAAACATCAAATCAAATTTAACAACATAAATTAATCCGTTCTCTATTCAGTCGAGTTGATGACTTAGTGCCTACCCATGAAAATTAAGGAGTGAAGGGTCTTAACCTATTTCATTCCTGTCACGATTCCTGTGATATCAGGATTCCTTAAAGAAAGTGTATGACCAAAAGTATCTCTGTGATGTCCATATTCATCAATTTTTTTTTTAGATCTAGTTAAGACTAAGTTTGACCACTTTTGCACAAGCTGTCAGCCACACCCAGCAGTTAGGGCATGTGAATTGAAGTACAACAAGTTGTGACCATCGAAAGCAAGACTGGACTGGAGCATTACACAACTCTCACTACTCAATGTGCTTACTGCAGAAAGTGTCACAATGACTATTAGGGTAGTGTCTGAAACTGGCTTCCAGAGCTATGGTTACGTTCATTGCCAGCTTGCTCCCACACAATTGTAATGGCGGATAATAACAATAGACCTAAGACGTAATGACGTCACGTTTTTGTTTACATGTGCGCTTTCCTATGAGAGCCAGGTGGGCATGTCCCACTTGGCTCTCATAGAAAAGCGCACATGTAAACAAAGCGTGGCTTCACTACGTCTCAGGACTATTAATAATTGTGCTTATATAGTGCTTTCCATCAAATCAACAATCTCAAAGCACTTTACAGCTATTACCCCGTTATCAGGCCATGGTACCTCACGACAGCCGATATCAGCGCTCAATCAGTCCTCGAACCTCACATGTACTCACTTATACTCCTAGGTGGAGAGAGGCAATTGTAGTCAAGTGTCTTGCCCAAGGGCACAAATACCATTTTTCTGGCAGGGTTCGAACCCACGCACCTTCGTACATGAGTCAAACACCTAACCACTGGACCATGGCAATCTGTCTAGATGACCTAGACAATAGCCCTAGACAGCGAGATTCAGACAAACCCTCAGACTGACTGGACAGTTTGTGGCAGAGCAGCTACTAGAGGGTTTAAACTGACCTGTTCCCAGGTCGCCACATGTGTTGTCCTCATCACTGAACTCTCGTTTCAGATTAGCCCCCTTCTCCAGGCTCCCCGTCTTCTGCTTCTCGGACGGTTCACTCCTGAGCTGAGCTAGAGCGCCCCCATTGGGCAGGCTAGTGCCAGTCTCCACTGGTTTTCTTTGGGTTGGGTATGGCGGCGGCTTCGCAGAGGCTGACGGGATACCAGCGGGAGAATTTGAGGAGCTCCGCTGGACCTGTGGTGCTGTGACTGTTGATGGCCTTTTGTCTGTGCACCGAATACAAGAGTAGTTTACAAATCACTCCTGGCATTATGCGAGCCCCATAAAATGTGTTAAATTGCCTGAAAAGTTAAATTTGAAATCTGTAGTGTTTTTCCACTTGATATTCACTAATTATGTAAGCAACTTACCAGGTTAAAGATCAGGTATACTCAAATTTGCTATTTCTAGATGACTAGAATTAAACACACGTCTTTTGTTCACATTTAAACCAAAGATGTGTGTTTTTGCAGTAGCATCTTACGTTGTTTTTAATATGAGCAATTTACTTTAGACAATTCCACACAATCTGTTGCTATTTTCATGTCATCAACACTTTTCATTTCCACTGACTTGACAATGACCCAACTTAAACTTGAATTTCTGGGCTTGGTCACCAGCGTAGCACACTGTATTAAACATTGCCATATTCTGGAAAATGACAATCACTTGGTTCAAAATTAGGATATCAGGCCGAAATAGAATAGCCTACCTTTTTCCCGGTCAACAATGTTTCCTGTGAAATATGTTTTTGCTGTTGCATGTTTGCTTTTTCATTTTTTGGAAAAAAATGTTGCAACGTGACACCACTTCCGTGGTTGTGTACAAAGTCTATCATGTCTACTATGGGAGAGTCAAGAAAATTTTCTATTTCCTAACAAAATTTGAAATTTTTCTCAGTCCCAGATTCATGTCTTATCGTCATTTTTGCAATGACTGACCTTCATTGAGATGATATATGAAGAAAAAACTTTAAAAAGAGGCGTCAGGTGCAACATTTTTTCCATTTTTTTAAGGCATGTAACTGTAAGGAGAAAATCATAAAATACAAACAACAAAATTACACTGTTGTCACAGACCATGCACAGACGAATGAATATTGAATAAATAAACAAATAACATCACTCACCAGACTTCTTTTTGAACAGAGGCATACTTCAAGATGTTCTTGGCATTGCCACCCTCCACTCACGGCTGATAAATTTGCTCATTTGTCAGTTTTACGGTACGATGGTTTTACATAAAAACACGAAAAACACACACACACACCTCCTCCATCCGACAGCTCAATGTTGAATGATGGGATATGTGGCTTTCGCCGGTTCTGCACTACGGTGCCCCCTATCAGACATTCAACATTCACACACCCACACAATCGGCTGGCCAATCCCGAGTGCCTCTCGACCCTTTTAAAATTTTGATAAATGTTTGTTGTGGATCTGCCCTTGGTGCCCTCATAATATGCTGGTTCCTCTCCCCAAAAAACCTGCCAGTGCTAAAAAAGTAAAAGTTACTGGCTTGCTTTCACTTGTATTTTGTGTCGAAAACGGGCCACCATATACTTTTAGACAGCGCCCTCTTGAGATAATTGGGACTTTATGCTGGCCAGGGTCAACAATGTTTATCCCAATAATTTGTACGGAAACGCCGACATAAAGAAAGGAGGATCCAGTCCCGTGATTGCGTAGTCGTATGGCTAAAAAGGTTTGTCTTTATAACTTACCATTCATTTATAAAAATGTAGCTTGGCCTTCTATTTATTTATTGTTGCTGATTGGGGCGAATCTGGGACGGGTAGGCCGTAGGCTTTCTATGTTAAAAACTTATAGGAGGAGGGGGGGGGGGGCGGGGCTGGGGAGAGGTGTTGTATAGTCGTGTTCCCTAACGTGGCGCACTTCGAAGCTTACCCAAATTTCCTCGTGTAGTGTTGCCAAACCTCTTTGTGGACAAACCTCAAATTCATGTAGTGAAATACTGGTACTTTTACCTTATTAATGTTTGCTGTTTAACCTCTGTGAACAATTTCGGTTTCATAAAATTTAAGCCGAAATTAAAAAACGGTGGCGTCCGGAAATTGGGCACAATTTGGCGGAGTGTTCCCTAACGTGGCGCACTTAAATAAATCTCGGAAAATTCCAAATTAACATTTAAGAATTTCTGTAAACTCGATAAATTCTGATAAATCATTATTATCTCTACCTACATACCCAGCCAGATGTTTGTCAAAAAATTATTTTCTTATTTTTCGGGGCATTTTCAAAGGGTTCACTTTGCACTTGAAAATAAAATCGGAAAATCACGCCAAAATAATTTTTTCTTTTAACTTTGTAGCGGGTAAATAAACTCGCGATTTATGAACGGGAGTGTTTATAACTTGATGAAATTTCACTTTCTGTGAAATTTCAGTTAAAACTTTTGCTCTAGCTAGGCGCTACAGGCGAAAAATCGAAGTGCGCCACGTTAGGGGCCGCGCCACGTTAGGGTACATCAACAATACATTAATAACTCATCACAACAAGGGAAAGATTTATGGGAAAGGTCCCAAGGTTCCCATATCTGGCCATCACTTGTCACCCTGTGCACAAACCCTATGGGACTGGTCTAAATTCTAAGTGTTTTCTCAGCTCAGTAAAGATTCAAAATTTGTCCTTGCTTATTTTGACTTTTATCACTTTCTGATGGCTGATAATATATACTGTCGTTTAAGGGAAAAATTACTGATGGCCAGATATGTAAATCTTTCCGATTTCCGTACTACATGTAGGCCACCACCTTTTTCAAACGCCAAAAAGTTGTATCCTTTATGGTTGTTTACTCCACTTTCCCTTCTCTACTCTCATCCTCTCCTTTATTCCTATTAATTATTAATCAGTCATGTCTGTCACTTACTTCATCGAGAATTGAACTTCTGACTCTTGTTTGAAACACAACACTTTTACGGCAGTTGTGTACCTACGGGTGCGGTACCTTTAAGGGAACAAAATCCACTTTTAAATTATTTGACCAACTAAACTAGTTGGCGACATTAAGAACATAAAGGTATATAAAGGGCAGGATTTCGAATTTGGGGGAAATTTGGGGGTAAAGTGACGATGACAACGACAAAACGCAACACGAAAATAAAGAAGGTGATCACTGCACGATGTACCATTTGTACCATGAGCATGCAAGTCACGCTGCACGGCACCAACCGGCCCGTAAACTGCGTAGGAAAATCGTAATTTTTACCCCAAGAAACTGTTCATTCATTGGGCTGGTCACGTGGGAAGATCAGTTCAACAGCAAAATGACAATTTCTTTTGCTAAGTTAATAAAACACCCCCACCATACCAACATCCCTACCCTACTCCATGTCTACCCTGCTGCTCAACCCAATTTCTCTCTACCCCATCCCCACCCCACCGCACCTTCATCATACACTCTTCCAAATCTCAAGCACCCCGTCTTTTGTAAGATTAATTAAACTGAATAAGCCTTCTCCTTTTTCTTTCAGCAGAGGTCTGGTGGTGGGAAATGTAAGTGTTCCTCTGTAAGATTGAAGAAATGTAGCTGAACATAAAGTACGACAGTAAATCCCCAGCTTGTCTATGAAGGTCATTGTGCTGTCTGCTCTCAAGACAAGTACTGGAAACTGCAGCTCAGCTCAGCGAATCAGGTAAGTGGGTCTCTGGTTGGAAAGTTTGGGTAAATAGCAGGTGTCATCAAGTCAATCACACATCGTTCACAAGTCAGTCACAAGTTGAATCATAAGTCACGACAGACGAATGCCTTTGTCAGAGTTCATCTGAACATCTTAATTGTCACTTGACTTAATACTGGATGATTTGTGATTGACTTGTTATGATGACTTGTGATGACTTTTGATGACTTTGGTTGGCTTGTGATGACGTGCGATGACTTGTGACGACTTGCAATGACTTGATGACTTGAGAGGACTTGCGAAGACTTGCGAGGACTTGTGATGACTTGCAATGACTTGTGAAGACTTGCGATGACTTGTGATGGCTTGAGGACTTGTGAGGACTTGTGAGGACTTGTGATGACTTGTGAGGACTTGTGAAGACTTGTGACGATTTGCAATGACTTGATGACTTGTGAGGACTTGTGATGACTTGCAATGACTTGTGAAGACTTGTGATGACTTGCGATGACTTGTGATGACTTGCGATGACATATGATGACTTGCAATGAATTGCAATGAATTGAGAAGATTTGCAAAGACTTGCGATGACTTGCATTGACTTTTGAAGATTTGCGATGACTTGTGATGACTTGTGATAACATCAGATGACTTTTGTTGACTTGTGATGACATGCAATAACTTGCAATGACTTGCGTTGACTTGTGGTGACCTCCGAAGACTTGTAATAACTTGATTTATGCAAAATCTGATATTAACTGTATTATTTGTCCATATTTAATTGATCATGCAGAAATTCAGCAGGAATGTAAATTCAGTTTCATTGTTTTGTTCACAGCAACTATTTACTAGAAGAGGGTATCGAGAGCCAATTAACAGACCAGGATGCGTTCATCAGCCCCTTGGAATTCAACCGGCATGTAGTCCAGACTGCGGCTGATTGCGTGCTGGCCATTCATGCATATCGCAGTGGCAAACTTCTGTTAGGTAAGTAGTTAGGCCACAAAAAAAAAGTCTCCGGTTTCTGGTATGGAGCTTGCCCAAAAAGTGGTAAGGCGACGAGGCTTTTTTTTTTTTTTTTACTTTTTTCTTCTTTAAATGTCGGCTGATGACTGCAAATGGTGCCCGACTAAATTTAGTGCAAAATATATGGGAGTCCAGAGAGGCCACATCAAGCTTATACTCGATCATAACCCCATCTAAAAACACGTTAAAATTGTGCAACAGCAGGATTCCAGTCAAACCAGTGAGTTTGGCAGTTTTTAGACATCATCTTACATTGAATTTTTTTTTTTTTATTTTGCCGACGCGCATGGCTACGGCGACGCGCGCATACCAGAAACCGGAGACTTTGTTTTTTGGGCCTTAGGCTTGTAGTTGTACACCTTCCCATGATCTCTGCAGGATATTTGGAAGCAGAGATGTAGTCGAGTCCGTCACAAGTCCCTGCAAGTCTATCACAAGTCACCCAGTCCAAATTCATATCACAAGCTATTCAAATGAGCTTTAGACAAAGGCATTCCTTTGTTCCACTGTTACTTGTGAGTTGTGACTGTTGCTGTTACGGTTTCTTGGGGGGAGGGGGGTGTCTTCCTTTCTGATTTGCTTCTAGCTTACTTACCAAGCGAATAAACTATGCCTCTGAAACAAAAAGGTTTAAAATGAGATCACACTTTTCATTAACTATGTTTTATGTTTGGTTTCAGAATGTCCCGTGCCTTACTCTATAGTGTTCGGTGGCACCGATGTCAACGAGCACCACAAGATTCATGACAAATTGGTTACCATGACAATGGCAGTCTCAAAGGCCAGGTAAAGCGAGAGACTTTGGACTTGAGTTGCTTTGAGGGGAGGGCAGAGTAAATATCGTAGTGGGTCTACACATGAGATATATAGAGGGCGCTATGTGGCCTATCCATATGGAGGCTTTGGCCCTGATGATAAGGCCAAATAAAAAAAAATAAAGCAGTCTCTTGTCCCCGCCCGCTTCCTTTTTTTTTTATCCCCGCCTCCTTTTTAACTTTTTTAATTCATACATTTAAACATATTTTCTGTTTATTTGTTTCTAACAAAAAATTGCAGCTATGTAGAAATGGAGACGACCCCTGTGGACACAATTTTATATCAGCCAAAGAGTCGAGAAAATGGAAGAATAAATCTGGAATATTGGACAATCCACCATCTTGAGGGGGAAAAAAAACCACCTCCTTTATTTTTCCAAAAAGCCCGGACGAGAAACTGTTTTGGTTTTTTTTACTCAGCCTAATACGACACTGATGTTAAGTGGTAGCATTTCAAAGTCTACCCTCTGTACAAATGGGTGTTGAAAACCAATATCCACTTGATCGTTTTCAAAACACTGTCATGTTGTTATGTTGTTCGTGTGAGAAAACGGCGTGGATAACCCAGGTACTGACATTTATTTATAAAACTTTTCATTGACAGATTTCTAGTGAGCTTTAGTAAGCCCATGCATGACCAGGCCCTTGCATTATGGGTAAGTTGTAAGGGTTTCTGGAAAGAAAAAAGGGAAAAGCAATTTAAGTCTTTAAGGCATACATTTGTAGTTTAAGGATTTGAAGACAAACTCTCTGTCTCACGTAATTTGTTTTGGTCCAGATTTTTATTTATGTCATCTTTCCTCCATTTACAGTCTAATAAGGTAATCTTGGGCTTTAAGTTCAAGGTACACTGCCTTGGTCAAGGCTTTTGTCGATAGTGTCCGTGATGGTATCTGGCCGCTAACATAAACATGAGCCGCGCACTACACACTGTACGAAGCGCGAACAGTGACTTCGCGCATCTACAGCATGCAATCAGCTGGAGAAGAACAAATGATTTGGGACAACGGATCATGTTGGCCTATTTTTTTCTTTATTTTGTTGCCAAATTTATATCAAGTTACATTTAGTTTGCGGATTCCAAACATGTTTGGGAATGTAGCCAGTAGCCAAACTTTCCAGCTCTTTACCCATATAAACATATGAGTGTCCATGACCAAGTACTGCATAATAATCTTATCTGTAATCGTATATGAGATTGTCGCTGGAAATCCAGAGAAAGAAAACGAAGCCAATGCTATCCGTTGTCCCAAGGTGTTTGTTCTTTACCAACTGATTTGCATATTGCAGCCGCATGAGGTCGCTGTTCGTGCTTCCCACATATTGCATGCCATGCATAGCGGGTGGCTTAGTGTACATTGTATATGTAAGAGGCCAGATACCTTCATGGACGTAATCGACGAATACCAGGTTGACTCTTGGTGACTTAACACAATTCAAAGTCAGTAGTTACACCAGTCCATGATAGACTGTAAAGCTAACAAAATACAGTAAACTCCAGCTAAACCGGCACTCTCGGGACCCGAGAATTTGTGACGACTTACGCGAATGCCAATATCTGCTGTAAGGCGTCATTTTGCCGACTTACATGAATGGCCTTTTGCACACATGATTCATTGCACTGATTGGCTTCGATTTGCCCTGGATTATCTCCTTAATGCTTGAGTTGAAACAACGGCTTGAGCGAAATGGCGACTTATAAAAGCTGACTTATAAATAAAAAATTCAATGGAAATGCATTACGGACAATCGGGACTTTAGTCAGACGGTCGACTTGAGCGATTTGACGAGTTGTACAATGTTGGTTTAGCCGGAGTAATATCAACTATGTTTATGATTGATATTTAATTTCAGTTAAATTTTTTTTTTGTAATTTGCAGCCTGATATTGGTGACAAACTCTACACCCTGCCACAAGGTAAGGCTCTGGCTAAAATGAATAAAGTATCAATTACATTTTTTTCAATGCAACATAATGAAGCAGATCTAGTAATTTTTTATAAATTTATAAAAGACAACAAATCATGGTAAGATAATTTTCATTACTTGCTTGGATGGACTTAAAGGCACACCTTCTGTTCACTAGTACAGATATTTTGCCACATCTTTTTCATCCTCCATATCATTTAATCCCATGTCACAATTACAGGAGTTGTAACCTCTCCCTCCAGCCGTTTTGATTTTCACCAGCACCTTCATGTAGCCTGCGGCATTCCTAAGCACAGCAGTGTATTCCTCCTAGTGGCTGGTCTGAGACCAGTCAAGGATCCGTTGTATCTAGTCAACAAATTCTCAGGTATTTCACAAGACTTAAGGATTTTCCTGATTTTCCAGAGTTTAGCCAGGTCTGGACAAAATGTGATTCACATTTTTACACTTGTAAAGCAACAAGTACCAAGTGGTACAACCCACGGCATGGGGGTAGCAACGAGGCTGGGTAACGTGTGAAGACGGCTTTACGGCACTGTCCATGCACCAGGGCAGTGCCGGTACCTCAAGAGTACAGAAAACAAAAAGGAACGGGGCGTGATCTAATAATATGCAAACAGTATGCAAATTAGACGCATGCGCAACAGCGTTTGCAAAACCGGTCTTCGAATGCAAAGCTGTAGTACTTGCAAAGCTGTAATACTCGAGTTGTATGAATACAAATTATGGCCGAGTAAAGTGTCCACTAGCCAACCAACCAACCAACCAACCCACCAACACACCCACCAACGAACCCACCAATGAACCAACATAAGCAGCTCAAGCCCACGGCATGTTTCACACCGCCGTGGCAAAAAGGTAAATAGCATGGTAATTTTTTAATCTAAAAGTTGGAGAAAGAAATTGACTGGAGCCGATTTAGCGGGGTTTGAACCTGCGACCTCCGGATTGCCTGTCCGGTGTTCTACCAACTGAGCTTTCCAGCCCTATGTTGGCGTTCCTTATTTTTGTCAGTGTCTTTGTTCAAGGGGTGCTGGTCAATCTATTAAGCCAGGGATGATATTTTTTTTTTACCTAAAATTACTTTTTCTTTGTAATGGACAAATTCCATGAAGCAGCTATGTGCAGAAATTTGATAACAAAAAAAAAACGGTTATCGGACTAAAGTTCACACCATTATTGCTTGTGACTTTTTCTTAGCTGATTGTTCCTTTTCGTGATAATAAACCTAGCAATAATTATTTTCTTCTTAGCATCTACAGAAAATTGGGCCAAGAATTAAACGAGATTTTTTTCATTTCACTCAGAGTGGCACATGGAGCATGGGAACGTTTATTTGGTGATAATCGGCCCAGAGCTGGATCAACAATTGTCAGAAAAGGTCAAAGCAATTGTCAAAAGGTAACCTTTTATTGAATCTTGATTTTGATATTCAAGTTTATATAATAATAATAATAATAATAATAATAATACCAAGCTTTTGTACGGCGTTCTACAACGATCACAGCGCCTCACAACAAACAGCTTAAACAGTTACTGAAAATTACAAAGAAATCATATACACAAAAAAAAAAACTATTATGCATTGGGAAATAAGTGTGTTTTGAGTAGGCGCTTGAAGATCGCTGTAGACGCAGCTTCCCTGATGTCAACCGGTAGTTGATTCCACAATTTAGGGGCAACAACAGAGAATGAATTTTCACCCGCCTTCTTGTTGGAACGAGGAACAACCAGACGATGTTTCAGGACTCGCCTAAATAGTTGGCGATGATAAAAGCAGGAAAAGTCACTTAATGTGTTTGGACTCGCATAAATAGTTCGCTTAGACACCATGTTGAATATCAGCAGGGTTATTTTGTAGAAAGAGCGCAGGGTTTTGTTTTATGAGGGAAATTATGGGGTAAAACTTCCACAGGCAGAGAATTGTCTGACCTGCTGTGACTCGCACGTCTCTAACCGCTAAAATGGGTAAGAAAGTTGCATTTTCTTCTAAAGTACTTATCAAATATATAGGACTAAAGAGTTAATCTAGATTAAGAAAAACAAAACTTATTGAGGCTGCAAAATTGATCATTCTTTAATTTACTGAGCAGATGTTTCTGTCGTCACTGTGTCTTAAGCTTCATGGAGCAACTCCTTCTTATTGTCAGTGGACAAGTTTTTATGAAAACTGCCCTTCCCCGTCTGCCTGGCACTACCCTGCCGTAACATTGAAATTCCTGACCATGAAAAGTACATCATCATTACGCTTGAGTGATAGAAACTCCCCCATGTTTTTATTGTCAGGTTGCCAGGGGTTGAGGTCTTAGACCCTCTGTCACAGAGTGACTGCCATAGAGCTATGCAGGAGTGCACCGCTGTGGTCAACTCGTCACTGAGTGAAGGCATGCCAGCGGCCATCTTAGAGGTAACCCCAGCGAACCCCTTACACACTTTTCATCATGCATTGCACCATATGCCACCCCTACACACTTCTGTCTATCAAAAGAAGGGTCTCTGGCTTGGATTCTTATTATAGGTCTCTCTCAAAGACGGCCATCTCTGTAGGAGAACTGCAACTGCGTATTTTACGCAATCAAGCACGCATTGCGCAGTGTCGAAAATGTTCCAAACATGCACACTTGTTGCTCGAAATGTGTTACAAATATGACACAGTCGATGCGTGTTATGCAAGTTGATGCTGAAAATGACGATGCACATGGCTGGTCTGTAGGAAATGACGTCATTATTTTGAGAGAGACCTATTGGCATGCAGGCCCCACAGAACTAGTGTACATACCTTCTCAACACACTTTCCATACCATATCAACACACTCTCCATAAATTCTTATCCCACAGTACATTGGCCCATAATTTGTTTTGAGTTGTGACCTTGACTTCGTTATTAATTCAGAACTCCACAGAACAAGGGCAGTGGTAGGTTAAGAGTTAAGGCAGTTTTATTTGTGCACTGTATCGGCAAGTCTTGGTTTTAAACTTGGTTCCTGCACATAATCTTTGCTTTATCCCTGTACCTCGGAATCAAGCTTTACTAATAGTCGCATGTTCAGGTCGTGTTCAATTTGGGTCTTCATGGCTGTGGGTTTTTTATTGCCATATATTTTTGCGAAGATTGTAGCCATAGCTGTACACACCAAACCCATTTTTTTAAAAAACAGCTGCACAAGTCAAGTCTGGATTAAATTTGGTTAAACCCTAACTCAGGTTCACTCAAGCTCTCGTGCATTTAATAGTAGAATGCAAGACGACCGAGTACGCATGTGAAGTTTGGAAACCCAACATAATTACAAATGTACTGACATAAACCACCTTGAGCAGATCCAAAAGAATGCTGCCAGATTTGTCTTTTCCGACTACCGAACAACAACTTGTATCTCACTGCTCATAGAACAACTAAACTGGGATCTACTTTACACCCGACCCCTGATTCAACAATGCACTCTGTACTATAAAATCCACTACAACCTAGACACTATTACATTCCCACAGTGCTTCCTGAATGCTACACATATTTCACAACGTATCGATCATCCACTCAAATGCACCTCTCTAATCATACCAACTATCAATGCATACAAATACGCCTTTTTCCCAAGGACTATGCCAGTTTGGAACAGGCTTCCACCATCTGCCGTCCTACACATATCCCCATCCGTACAGGCCTTCCAAACACCAGCCATCCCTGCCATCAGAGCAATGCAGCCTCTGTATGGCAATATTGTCCTGTAAATGCTTTCTTTCTCTTTCACCTGTAAAAAGTGCACCTTTTTTTTCCTTTTCGTGTTGTTTTCACTTTTGGCACCTTATCCGTCTGGCTGTTGACGTCACCCCTGCACAACATCCCAGTTAGCCCAAATTGGGTTGCGATGGGATGATTTTACCAAGTACCAAGTACCAAACCATTTCTCTTACACTCATTGTGAAGCTACATTTTGACTGTAAATGTTACTGTTATACTGCAGGCCATGGATCTATGTGTACCAGTCATAGCACGTAACATACCGGGTAACCGTACACTCATCACGCACAGACAAACAGGACTGCTATATGATACACCAGAGGTATGTGTGAAATGTGTGTATGTTTGAAGAGAAAAGCTTGAGATTAGGTATGAGATATTTTGATTCCATACCATATTTTTCAGGCGTGCAACTTCTCCTCAGTTCCGCTGATTTCCTCATTTTTTACTTCTCATGAATGCCATTACAAATTGAAAAACACTGTACAAAGTTAATTGTGTGGTTTGGAATTTCCTTGTTTTTTTCTGAATTCTCAGTTGCAATAGAGGTAGTTTTAGGGTCCAGGCCTTGACTCTTCCTTCCTTAAACCTGTGCACTCTGTGCACAGGTGCCCCCTGTATGGTATGAAAGGGAGAGTTATGGGAGATCACTGGGAGAGACATTCCATCGCATTGCTGACGACGCCTGACGCTCATGTGATGAAGACGCTATTGTTTTGTGCGCAATCAGAATAAAATTAGTCGTGCATACTTCCTGCTATACGTGCGTGAATTAGTATTTGCACTTGGTGTCTCTCTTCCACTGAGCTCTTGAAAGTGTTTGAAAAGCGCCCTCTGTTCTTCACGCACAGAGCCCATTACAGTGAAATCTTGATAAGTCTGATAACTCAAAACAACTGTTAAGTCAAACAAAGATTCCATGGCCTTCAGTAGTATAACAATGATATACAATCCTGCTTAACTCAAACCTCTGCTTAAGTCAAATTTTGAACCTGTTCCCTTGAGGTTTGACTTATCAAGATTTTTGTATATAAAAAAAGGATGGACATCAAAGCTTGACCGTTATTTTCAGGAGTTCATCAATTTGGCTGAGGACCTTCTGACATCGCCTGGCCAGCATGCAGCAATCACCAGGCAGGCCAAGGAGTTTGTTGATGCCCACCACTCGCCTCAGAGCGAGAGAACCACGTACGTCAGTCTCGTCAAGAGGATGGCATCGGAGCCAGGATAACCTGGCAGAGCTGTTAGATTCACTGATGACCAATTTGCTATTCCAGAGACTAAAAGACCATATTGTCATCAAGTCATTTTGAAATGTTTCCCAAATATACTGAAATGGGAGTTGTATACCAAGCACTGAGCTAGGCTGTGCTGATTGAGTACTTTAGACCTAACAAAATGGACCCCACATTTTGTAGAATGACCCACATGCAAGAAATATACAAATATTAACAAAACGGTGAAGGCTCTTTTAACAAGTTCTAACAACTTTTCATCAGACATCCTTGTTCAGATACTCAGATTTCTCCCCGTAATTGGAAAACCGTGTCAATGTCTCAGATGTAATTTGAACTGTGTCAGCCTGGATTCAGTGAAATCTCGATAAGTCAAACTCAGATAACTCAAAACAACTGTTAAGCCGAACAAAGTATCCATTCCCTTCAGTTGTATGGCAAATTTGCTTAACTCAAAACTCTGCTCAAGTCAAATTTTGAACCTGTTCCCTTGAGATTTCACTGTATTTGTCAAACTCAGTAAAGGAATGACTTGGTTGCAATTCTGTGAGAAAAAAACTACTTGTGCATTTAGTCTTGAGGCCCGAGCTGAAAAATTTCAAAAATTATTTTTTTCTCTAACATTTGAAGCTTTGGGCTTTTTCCATATAAATATGTTTTCTCATGCTCTTTTCAAAGAAGAAAGCAGCTCATATCAGCTTAGGCCAAGTAAAAAAAACCCCAAAAAACAAACCAGTATCACGTCCCCGCCCGCTTCCTTTCTCCCGCCCGCCTCATTTCCATTTAAAAAAAAATGTTATTGTCACATTTGCAATATATTTGGCACATTTATTGTCTCTGTATTTGTTTTCAGCAAAATTGTAGCTGTGTAGATAGGGTTACAGCTCCTTTGGACGCAATTTTGTATCAGAAAAAAGATTTGAGACAATGGAAGAAAACATTAGCCATCTTGGAAAATCCGCCATCTTGAAAAAAACCCCAAAAACGCCCGCCTCCATTTTCCAAAAAGTCCAGATGAGAATGATAATGAAGATTTATAAAGCATACTTATCCACCTTTTAACAGGCTCAAGGTGCTATAAACACAATTAATCCATTACTCTCTTTTGAATGAGAGATTGAACAAAAAACTCTGCCCACGTACATATTAAAATATAATATTATAAATATTATAACATCTACAAAATGTACTTACAAGTTTTGAAATTTATTTGCAGTTGACAACAATTCAGGCGTATCTTTTATGCATTACGGGTGCTGAAGCAACGCAAAATAAAACCTTTATTTTTTTTCAGAGCATTGAAATAGAAAGGGAAAAAGGAACATTTTCCCTTTAAGTAAAACATACAAATGGAGATTTCGAATATGAAAATGATCAAACATGTTGAAGAGCAACAACTTTAATGTGGCAGTTAAGCCATTAAATACAAATACCAGTTTTTTATGCAATATAAAGATGTCACTAAGTACATTGTAAATATAGCTTATGATTAGTTATGTCATTTTGAGTTATGTCATTTTGTCCGTTGCCAAACCACCTATGCTGCATGTTAGTCACACTAATGGAGATCAGTTAGCCTACCTAAGACGTCTTCTTCACATCTATTTAAACAGCATTACCCAGAAATTGAAATTCAGTACACATTTATGAAATATTTGAGAACATTCAGTAAAACAACAATGATGTCATTGAGGTGGAAGCAATAATTGTTTATTTGTTAGCAGTCCATTTTGATGTAGAATACTGAGAAACTATTTTAAAGTACTGGAACATTTGCGCAATAAATGTCCTTTAAAAAATGAATGTATATTCTTAATTGGTGGCCAAAGATTCTGTGACTGGGAGCAATTAACATCATTCTCGTGTGATTTTTGTTGAGTTTTTTTTCTAACAATTACTTATCTGGAAAGTATCTGAAATTTCATGTATGATTTTCTGTTTATTTGTTTGAAAATGTTTAGTACTTATTGGCATTTCAAATTCAAATGCTTGATTTTCTGTGAATTGTAGTAACATATCTATCTTTTTAAAACAAATTTCCACTGTACATTTCTTTAAAATTACTTGCTTTCAAATTAATATATTTGTAAAGTTCATTTTTAAATTTGTTTCTTGCAGACTAATGCATGTATTTACTCCATGTCATCGCATTATTACTGATGAGGTTGTTTAAAATTACAAGTACTCGACATCTACTTAAAGTGCCTTAATAGGTAGATTTCTATCAAATTAAACAAAGAACTGTAAAACAATAATTGTGTTTATTTATTGTATTGTTTATAATAATTATCCACGGGGCTAACCAATTTGATAATGCTAAAAGAGGAACTTCAAATTGGCAGAGGGCCTTAGTGCTGTCTTTTGCTGAGGGGATTAAAAAAAATAAAGGTCCTAAATTGGCCTTATGCACGATTTGGCCATATTGAATTGAAAGTGAGGTAAAATCTTAATTTTTGGAACTTGCGAAGAGAAATGAAAGCAACTAAACTACTAATTAATTCCAGTCTGCTTCAATGGATACTTTAATATTTGTAATTAAACATCCGCCAATGTTTATAGCCAGATTTATGAAATGAAAGTAAATAAATAAGGCTGCGAAGTTATGCCTGCATAAACAGTCTGGCGCCGTCCCACTCATCATTTAACAATTAGGCCTAATGAAATACATTCAGGGAACTCGACAAAAATGGCCAACTCGTGATGAGGCCCAATTATTCAATATCATAGTACTGGGAGCCTCTATTTCAATGCTTATTTGGGATTCGTCTATGGGCTCCGTGCGCCAAGAGAGGGCGCCTTCCTTGTGTGTGACGCATGTACACCATATACAGGGGATGGTACGGCTGCGCGTCGCAGCAAGATGGCGTCGGTCGGTCACCCCCAACTGTACTTTCTTTGCCGGTAAGGGGGTACTTGTGAACGGAGCGGATACCGAGCTTTTCTAAAGGGTAAAGGTTAGCATTATCAGATACAGAAAATAAAGCCCAACTTCTCTTTTGCCATGAAATAAATGACAACCTTTTTTAATCTAATTGTAAAGGATTGTGGATCTTCGATTGAAAATCACTGTATTCACCCTCCTATGCAAACGTACATTCTCTGTCAAGTTGTCCTTAAGTCAAGATCAGTCAATCCTACATAGAGCAGGAATGACTGGCTGTGACTAGGTCACATTGTCACTTGATACAGCTATGTTTTGACTGTACGTGATTGATAAAACCAGCCTGTTTTTGTCCGTTGACTGAATATGACTAGTCACGGTGCTTGCTCGAAATATGATCTGACTGTTGGTGACTAGCCGGTGAAAAAGGCATGTGAGGGGACGAGGATTGATTGTTTGACTGTGATTGTTCAAACAGCAGGAGGGTCAGTGCAAACGGACACATATTACTGTTTTTTTCCCATTTCAGTTGTTTTATTGCAGTACCGAGAAATCATTTTGATCTTCGACCGTATCAATTAATTAATGTTCCTGTGCTATGTAAGTATATGCTTATATGCCTTACAGTTTATGGACTTATGAAAAGGAAAGTAGCGAATGGCCACTTGCATGGGGCTGCTAAGCACAGATTAAGGAAGCGCAGATGCCGAAATTATTTGCTCAGTAAAAACTAGTTACCATGCAAAAATGTTTATATCGCCTGTGACTCAGTGGTTCTCGGGTTGTGCTAAATATGCAAAAGTCGAATTTCAAATTGGCACTGAAATTGAGGGCCCCAATGCTCTCCTTTGTTGAGAGATTGTTTGGAGATTAAAAAGAAACGTCCTTAATACAATGGCTTAGCACTGAGAGCTTTGGTTCAATTCTAATTTGAATCCTTTGAACATCTTTGTTGCCAACGAGAGAGGGCGCTCAAGGCCACAAACCATCATCAACAGCCTCGTTCCCCATGGGTACGATCGTGCCGCGCCATGTTGGTTGCCAACATGCCTTGCGCAGTGGCGTCGCCAAGGGGGGGCCAGGGGGGGGGGGGGGCACGTGCCCCCCCTGGAAAACCTAGTGCCCCCCCGAGTGCCCCCCATCAAATGCTGGTCCCCCCGCCCCCCCTATCCTCTGCAAAATTCTGCGCGTTGTTAAAATCATTACCTCAAAAATAGCAATTTCTGGAGATATCTTCAGATCGAATTTAGCATCAAATGTGGCACCATTTTGCATCTAGCCCATCCTCCGTATGCGAAAATTTTCCAAAGGGGAGGGGGGTCCTTAGACCCCTCCCCCAGGACAGCGATCCGTATCCACCTAAGTGCCCCCCCCCCCATCAAATGCTGGTGCCCCCCTATCCTCTGCAAAATTCTGCGCGTTGTTAAAATCATTACCTCAAAAATAGCAATTTCTGGAGATATTTTCAGATCGAATTTAGCATCAAATGTGGCACCATTTTGCATCTAGCCCATCCTCCGTATGCGAAAATTTTCCAAAGGGGAGGGGGGCACCCCCTCCCCTTAGACCCCTCCCCCAGGACGGCGATCCGTATCCACCTAAGTGCCCCCCCCCCATCAAATGCTGGTGCCCCCCCCGCCCCCCCCCCCCTGTGTGCCCCCCCCTGTGCCCCCCAGACTGAAAAGTCTGGTGACGCCACTGGCCTTGCGCGTTCTTAACCCCTGGAATTGTGTAATTTATATAGTTGGCACATTAAAATCAGGACTGCAGTCGATGTGTTTAACGCGCGGCGTAGCGCGTTAAAAAATGTGTGTGACTGTCATTGATCTCCGTGTATATGGAGATCAATGGTGACTGTAGAATCAATCCTTTTCAAACATAAGATTTCGGCGTCGCGGTATAGAGCCAGGATTCACATTAAATATAAGTGCCTCTGTCGTCCTTTTACAACACAAGATACATTTTTTGGGGGGCAAACAACGAGGCTTCCATCGTACAGTACGGAAGCTTAAAGTGACCATCCGAGTTTCCATAGTACAGGCATAGCGCAGTCTTGAAAAATAATGTTCGTACGTGACGTACAGGAGATACCAGTTCGTAAAGTGACTGCCTCATCAGTGTGCCTCCTTCACAGACTGCCTTTTGCTGAATTCATCTTTCTTTTCTTGCGATCCCCTTACTTAAGTTGCAATCCCACTAGTCGGAATAAACCAAGCCACAGCTGAGATGCGTGTAATACAGTTATATTTTTTGACATGTGTATAAAAATGAAAGTAAAGCACGACATTTATAGACATGGAAGTTTGCAAGAAATAAGGGAAAATAACATGCACTACATGACGGGGAGCAAAGCGCCCCTCGGAATTTTACAAACACGGCAACAAAGTTGAACAAATTGTAGGCCTAAGTCTGAAAAAAATATAAATAAACGAAAAATAAGAAATGTCCCCTTCAGTAAAATTTTACATTGTGTCATATGAACTATTTACAAATGCATAACACGACAATATTGCTTTAATATTGCTGCTAAATCACTGGATAATAATAGGTCATTTGAAGGCAGAGTGGACCATTTTGCAGCTATCAAAAAAGTAAAAAGCCTACTTGGTTGAAAGATGCGTCAAGTGACATATTTTTGGAAATTTCCGCTTGTAGTTGGTTTTTAATTGGGCGAATCCGTGAATGGGTGCAAGCGTTGACACGACGCACACGCGTGCGCGGCTGCTATTATTCGTCGTTTAATTCAGTGCGTGACATCACGCAGCTACAATCGGCAGGAAATCATGTTCCAGATGCTGATTTCGAAATAGTTTCACGATAGGACGCAATTTAAAAAATGACATGGCAACTTTGGAACTGAAATCGACATCCAGAATATTGTGTTTTCTCAAAAAAATGCACTCACAGAGCTAGAGCCAAACCTTCATCGGGTTAGTTGTTATAAGCGTCCGTCTTTAGATTGTTATCACTTTTGTTACTTTAAAACGAAATATGCACAAAGTGACAAATGGTTCTTGGTCCATTCTACCTTTAAATTTGCCATGAAGAACAGTCAAAGTGAAAATGCAAATCAAAATTGCTCTTGTTGCAGAAAAGCAGCATCATTGTTATCTCATTGCCCAACTTCAGGCATGGAACCCCCACATTCATTTTACCCCCACATTGAATTTATAAAACAATTGTCGAAATATACTCTTTAAAAAAATGGAGGATGAAAGAACGCGATTTTTTATTTTCGAAAGATTACAGTACTACAATTGTGCAAATGGTTGCTTACTCATGAAAATCACACAGGTGATTTTACAAAATGTATATATAACAAAGCATTCTTACGTTCAAAGCATGTTTTATGGTCAACGTGTTTTACCGCAAAGTTAGGTTCCACATTAACACTGCCGTGACCTCATCTTATACATAAACTTGAAAGTTGCCATTGAATATACCCGTTTTGTGTGTTTTAATGACTTTATACATTTCTTTGTATAGACGGTATCATTAAACGGGTGTTACAAAACAACTCTTACTATTACTCAATATACCCAAAGCATTGTTTGTGGATATAAAACTTCATTATGTGGCCTGGCAGATCAATACTACTGCGCCTCGGCAGAAATGTATAGCTGCGCGAATCTGCTAGCGACAAAACAATGACGTGCATTTCATGAACGAGTTCAGAAATCCGTTCAGTAAGTTCCGCACGGTAAGTTCTTTAAGTCTATTTAAAGGTATCGTTCATTGGCATGTCATTCCTCTGTTATAAAATAGCGCACTCAACTGGTTGCGATGTCTAGATCGACAGCCAAGTAGAAATTAGCTTCTATTTTAGAAAATTATGTCAATTTTTTCCGATATGGCGATGCCCATAATCATTTAGTTGAATGATCTCTGTTGAGGCAGACCCCGCCAGGATATGAACACAGAATCCCACGAGGCCGCCCACATACGATTTGTACAAATGAACCATATGTTACATTGATGAAATAATGAATACACCTTAAATTGGTTCAAAACGTTAATCTGCAAAAACGACCCCGCCAGGATTCGAACCTGGAATCCCCTGATTCGTAGTCAGATGCCTTATCCGTTTGGCCACGGGGCCACCCACATACATTTGTACCAATGTATCGTGTGAAATTGATGAAATGATGAATCCATCTTAAATTGGTTCAAAACGTTAATCTGCAAAAACGACCCCGCCAGGATTCGAACCTGGAATCCCCTGATTCGTAGTCAGATGCCTTATCCGTTTGGCCACGGGGCCACCCACATACATTTGTACCAATGTATCGTGTGAAATTGATGAAATGATGCATTTAAATCGGTTCAAAAATCAAAACGTTAATCTACAAAAACGACCCCGCCAGGATTCGAACCTGGAATCCCCTGATTCGTAGTCAGATGCCTTATCCGTTTGGCCACGGGGCCACCCACATACATTTGTACCAACGTACCGTGAGAAATTGATGAAATAATGAATCCATCTTAAATTGGTTCAAAACGTTAATCTGCAAAAGCGACCCCGCCAGGATTCGAACCTGGAATCCCCTGATTCGTAGTCAGATGCCTTATCCGTTTGGCCACGGGGCCACCCACATACATTTGTACCAACGTACCGTGAGAAATGGATGAAATAATGAATCCATCTTAAATTGGTTCAAAACGTTAATCTGCAAAAACGACCCCGCCAGGATTCGAACCTGGAATCCCCTGATTCGTAGTCAGATGCCTTATCCGTTTGGCCACGGGGCCACCCACATACATTTGTACCAATGTATCGTGTGAAATTGATGAAATGATGCATTTAAATCGGTTCAAAAATCAAAACGTTAATCTACAAAAACGACCCCGCCAGGATTCGAACCTGGAATCCCCTGATTCGTAGTCAGATGCCTTATCCGTTTGGCCACGGGGCCACCCACATACATTTTGTACAAACGTACCATCTGAAATTGATGAAAATTAATGAATCCATCTTAAATTGGTTCAAAACGTTAATCTGCAAAAGCGACCCCGCCAGGATTCGAACCTGGAATCCCCTGATTCGTAGTCAGATGCCTTATCCGTTTGGCCACGGGGCCACGGTACATGTAAGACATATACGTCCCCTGAATGCACATTTACATTTCTTGTAAATGATAATCACGCTCGTATAACGCATGACGGCTTTGCAGGCTAGGTGCCTTTTCTCTCTGAATAAGCTGTACTATCCGCACGCCTGGGAACTTGATAAAATGACCACCAAAGAGGAGAAATATGACACCAATGAGAAAGTTCAAGTGCGAATTAGGTTCACACTACCACTACCTTTCTTGAATTTACAATGATCGGGCAACTCTGGTCTATCGCTGATTCTCAATTATCTAGTTTCGTAAAAGAGTGTAGAGAGAACCACTGATATGAAGGTTAACACAGTGCAGAATGGCAACAACCGGCAAGAGCACTGAAAAGTGCAAATGTAGGCTACAATGTGCAAGTTGGCCATTCGACAACAATGGATCGTTCGAGTAGACCGTCATTGCACGTGTGTATTAGAAAGAGATCGATAAATGGTTACACTACCGGCACATTTTGTATTGTTCCCGCTCGAACTCGTTCAATTATGACCGTAGTAGGCTGGTGCCTTTAAATTTGCTGTCACAATTACATTGACTTCTCATCACGAGGAGCCCAGTCTAGACGTCCATTAGGAATCTGACAAAAGTATCAAAAAAATGTTTGTATCTTTCAGTCCACCGTGTGAGCGACATCGTCACCAGTAAAGACCCGCGCGAAGAACTCCTTGGCCAGGGGCGCCTCGAGCATGATTGTGATGGTTCCTACAAAGACACCACAGAGGAACACGATGAGAAAGATGCGGTCTACTACCATGGCAACGTACTTCCAGTCCTCCTTGGCCTGTGTGGGGAAAGAAGGTGAGGATAAAAATGACGTATGCGGAATATAATGGTGACTGCTTGGAATTTCAGCAAGATACATTATACCTTCATGTTACAAAGACTTGAAATTGCTTGCCTGCCTCTCAGATCGCACCACAGAGCATCTAGAATCCAAATTTTTGGTGCCGTGTGACATTCAGACTCTATATGAAAAGACTCATAAACCGTATTGCGAATGTTGCGGTAACCAAAGAACGAGATTTTATGCAGACACAACGCACGAGACGCTTTAGAGTAAAAAGTAAATGGGAACGAATTCCACAGGAGTCCAAAATTCTTAATACACCGTTCTCCTTACCCGGACCATGTCGTCCTCGTTGCGATATCGTGACGTCATGTACATGATCTCCTCCACGGCCCGGTGCACATTCATAGCCTCGCACGGCTCGGGGTCGTGGTTGGTGGACGGTAGATATCGGCTGGAACGGCGAGTCTCCTGACCCGCTGAAAAATACGGGAGAATTTTTTTTTTTTTTAAATTCTGTGATGTTCTACAAGCTTTTGCTTTAACCTGAACATTATGCTCACTTTTTGTCTTTGGTCGTTAACCCCCTTTCCGCATGATACTCCGCATAATGATTATATACTTACATTTGCAGTATTTTTTGTTGCCGTTTTAAAGATTGTGTATGAATTTGTGGTACAAAATCTGATATTGAATTGAAGTTGAATAGGACTTTTTCAGTGGCAACTTTAAGCAGATCAAAAATCTGCATGTGAAGTAAAGTTTTCAACGATAGTCATACAAGTTATAAAGTACATTAAATGAAGTATATCGATTTTTCGTCATCCTCTCAACGCATGCTCAAGTTTGTCCAATAGAGACAGAGATATCCACTTCGGGTTTCAATCTCGACGACACTGTTTGTTAGAATGCACTTTATCAAAGTCCAAGATAGTCTGCTCGGCAATGTCCTGATTAATGATGTATGTTATAACACAGTCCCACTAATAAATGAGATAGGAAACTACACAAATCTGAAGACTTCGATGTTGCAACTTCAGTTTTCGGCATTAATCTGCGACCGGTGTTATTTTACAAAACACATCCATGCTATCATCCGTTTTCCTACCCTACCCTACAAACATTCGCCATCGGCAAGCACAAAATACGCAGCTTAACCCAAATAGACCAAAAAAAGTAATACCTTCTTTTGCCAAAGGGAAATAGATTTTAGAACTGACAATTACTTGTCTTCCGATTAGGACCTCCTATTTATTCCTGACACAGACAATCTGGTGAATTGCACAAGACGAAATTATTACTGCATCTTTGCCAACGGCTGTATTGTGGTTCTGTCCCCAGCCATTACATTCGACACACTTTTTTAATACGACTTTCCCAAACTGACAGATTTGTGTTTTGTCTCGCCTTAGGGACCTTTCTGTATACTCGGATCAAAATTGGACAGTCCTGACATAGGCCTACTTTTAATAATTGTCTACTATCAACGACTTGTCTAGTCGGTCTACAATTACCTTCGTTTCAAATTGAAATAAAGAACCCAGATCGTTTCAGCTATGACCAAATAACTTCTGTTTTTTAAAGACGATCACAGCATTTTGACCGAAATGTTAGATCACCATCTGATTTTTTTTAAATTAAAATATCGAGTAGGCCCGTAGAATATAATTGTTATATTTTTTCTCTGTAGTGTTTAGAAAAACTGTTTTTATTCAACCAAGGGCTATTATTCAATATTAACAATTTTACAAGGAAAACAATAGATCTAAAAACGGAGTAAATTATGACCTGAAAAACGTAAACAAAGTTCTACAGATCCTTAAAAAAGTAAATAATTATAAGATCAATAAATGAAAGAATCCAATGAATGACTAGAAATATATCAAATAACCGTAGAAGTATTTACAAGGTATATACAATAAGTAAAGTCACCCTCTTAACTCTTTACTATACTTTCGCTAAAATGTCCTTTTTGCAAGAAAACTCTAAGATATCACGTATATCAGCCAAAGTTTTCCCATTGTAGCTTTCTTATCTTGCAAGCGAGACAAATTCTAGATGGGGCACGATCGCATACGTGAAGTAATCACAAAATCTAGCGACCTACATCTCTGGGTTTGTTGCTTTCAAATCTTGACAGATCCGGATCTGGAAAGCGGGGATGTCTTTATCGAGGCTGTTCATCTCTAGAAAAAAAATGTCCTGAAAGCACCGCCAGCAAAATTAATTTACTGTCCCAGTATCATGTTTGTCTCGTCTTTTTTGTCAGTCAGGTAATGTAAGTGCTCAATGTATTATGTAGACCCTTAACATCATTCGTCGTCGATCAGCAGATTGTATTACGTCGTGATGACTGATATATGTACAGTATTACTCATGAAATGAAAATTAGAGACTGGCTTCTAGTCTCTCCAGCATGTCTATAGAAAAAGTCAACGAAGGGTGAACGAGTGGCGGTCCGCCAACGAGTGAACGAGTGAGGGATGTTTTTCCCTTGTATCAAACTAGCGTTATGTTATTCAAAGCAGTTTAGCATAAAATAAACCACAAAGGGGATGTTTTAGATCTACTAAATACGGGAGGCGCACACTAGGCTATCTCTTTACTAACAGTATGCCGTGATCGGTAGAGCGGAAAGCGTGGTTCGTGAAACCAGTATCACAAGTGACATCAGGTTCTACACTGTTCATTGTTTTCCTTTAAAATGTGAGGGGAAACCAGCTTTCATTTTCTATGGGGCGCCCGCAGGCCGTAAATTGAAAAAGGTTACAAAACCAGAGAATTATAGACGGTGTATTCACTTGGACATTTTCGTGGTTAGAGGCATTTTGAAACCGATACTAGGTATGAAAGAGAACATAATTACATAGTTTAAAAGGTAGGACAGTTGTTTTAGTTTTTTTTTTCAATCTCGTTTTAGTGGAGCTATATTCAAGTTATGAGGGTTAAATTAATTTGAACCACAGATCAATGAGATTCAGGCCTACTACTGCCACTGCAAAAACTCATCACTTCTTAATCCAAGGAAAAATTGTATGTACATGTACTTGGATCTTTAGTGCGTTTGATAACTCAGTACCTGGACTTGTCCTACGAAGCCCATTGGAACTGGAAGGAACGTCTCCCTTGTTGGCGGCCAATGAGGCGGTGGCGGCCCAGTAGGTAGGCGGCATGGTCACGGTTACGGACGGGTGTCTGCTACCTCGGGCGTCGCCATTGGCGTTTACCTCTGCGTGTGTAACGGAAATAAATATCTCTTTTGGGTAAAAGAAATGTCAGGGACAACCCTACCAGGACAATTCGATTGGTGACCAGGGTACCTCCGGTAATGCAAAAGCATTTAGAATTTAAATATAGTCGTGGAAAGTCACGAAAGTCACCCTTATCATTATAGGGAATATGAAAACTATTGAATATTATATAAGTTTCCATGATTTATGAAAGGTTTCCCCATTAATAATCTACCTTTTACGATTGTCTTATACTGTCTTCTAGATAATCAGAAAGTCACGAAAGCGTGTACGATTGAATTGGTCATTTACATTATATGCTCTTATAAAAACTTGAATCACAATGCATCTGGTCGTGAAAGTTATGGGAAATCAATCTCGAAATCTGTCACCGTACTAGTGTGTTTCATTTGTTTCATTTGTTTTCACCTTGTTTATTTTATGCGAAGAATTCACTTGATTTTACCTGTGAAGACTTCACCCTCTGAGTCTGTCTCCTGCCCATTCAGCTCATGGTCTACCTCACTGCGCAAGCGCACCGTGTAATTATTGCCTTTGCTCTCCATTACCAGTTTCTTGGAGTCCACATATTTGGTGGTGACGGCGTCCCTAGTCAGCGCCACGCCCACGTTCCGGTACTTGAGATTGTACCGATCGGGCCTCTTCAAGGCTATGTACTTTGGGAGGAAGTTTATGAACACCGTCCGTACCCAGTTCGGCATCTTGTGGGTGTGGGGCGAGCGGTAGCGAATGTTCAACACAAAGACGGTTAAGATAATGGAAGAGGACACAACGACCATGGTGAACAGAAGGTACTTGACGATCAAAGGAAAGTTGTTCCCCGTGGGTGGTATCCGTTGCGTCACCAGTAAGAGGAACCAAGCCATGGAGAGAAGCACCGAAGTACACAGGGACATCTTCTCGCTGATGTCCGGAGGCAGGTAGAAGACTAAGACGGTGTTAAAGGAGATGAGGCCGCAGGGCAACAATAAATAGGCGAAGTAATACAGCGGCATCCGGCGCAGGAGGAAATTGCAGGTGACATCCACGTAGGCCTCCTGGCAGCACAGGTAGCTGATGACGTGCCTCTTGCACGGGGACTGGACGATGGCCCACTCCCCGTTCTCCCAGTAGTCTTTCTTCTCGGCGCTGGGCCTGGTCGGGATCAGGTCGATCTTGTAAAAGTCGTAGGTCCAGCTGCCAAACTTCATGGTGCAGTTCTGCTCGTCGAAGGGGAAGTAGCGGGCGTCGATCTTGCAGGAGCTCTTGTAGACGGCCGGCGGGGACCAGTTGACGGTGCCGTTGCAGTCAACGCTGGCCCAGGCTCCCGTCTGCATGTCGAAGGAACCATTAGCACTAGTAGGGATAGATAAAAAGAACAACGTGAGGCTATGGTAGAATATAAGTTCTTGACTTTAATCATATTTATACATTTGTATCTCGAATAACAAAATGGAAATAATTCAAGACTATATGCCTATTTCGAGAGTAATTATTGGTGGCGAACAGGAAGTTCTTAGGCAACATTTTCATTGACAATAACGCAAATTAAGTTAATTAGTTTGAAGAAAAGGTGCCCTTGCTGGAAAATTGATCATACTGATAAAAAAGTGATGGTTTAAAATTTTTTTTAAATAGACCATGGAAAATTCAGTAATTTTTCAACGTCACACCACCGAAATAATGTCACAGACGAAGATAAACATGAAAGTTGTTGCTATAAATGACTTGCACACCGGGCACACCTACGGGTTTTATTTATTTTATGTCCGATTAAATTGCAACCTCATTCCCATGGGTACGATCTTGTGGCGCCATTTGCCTTCATCATGCCTTGTGCGATCTTAGCGCACGCAGCCCTTGGAGTCGAGGCTGGTTAAATTGATAGTTGTGGCTATAGCGCCCTCAAGAGGCAGAAATCGATACCCAAAGGACGAGCTGGTTTCCTCGTCGGCCCCATTACATTATCATGTAAGCGATACCTTACTTGTTATAGATGAGTATATCGGGAATCCAGATGGCATCGCTGGGCACTTTGATCCGCTGAATGCCGTCGAAGTCAGCGGGTTGCCACTTGAGATTGTAGTCATTCCACACCTGTGGTATACGAGAAAATACGATGGTGCCATCTTGATTATCCATTTGACATGTACAAATAGCATGAAGCGCACAAAACGGACGTTGAGTGATGACCTGCATTAGGCCTAAACGTGCAAGCGATTCGTATTTAGCAGACTAACATAGGGAGCGTCGGGTAGTCTGCCTTCTACATCTAAACGGCTGTCAGTCTTTCTTTGAGTTTTGCATGTTCCAAGTCTTTAGGGAGTTCCTTTACCCTTGCTATACGATTCTACCGGGAGTAGCTAACCTGAAACGAGACCAGGGTCGCACGTTTTCTTTGATAATCAGGACAAGTATCAAGCTATATGCATCACTTCGTGACATTTTGGCTTTTACAGTAACCTGTTTTCCGTAGTAGGTATTTTCTTCTCTACATGCTCTGAAAATATTGTGTGCTTATAGACCTTTCTTTGCCCCACCAATGGTTGGCACTTTTGGCCATCCACGGGTTGGCAAACTATGGAAGTCAACGTCGCAAAATGCAAATAGTTATTAATGTGTCCATGCATTATCACGGGATTGTTGAATATACAATCTAACCAGCAAACGCTTCCAAGACTTAATTTTCAAAATGCGTTATTTCTGGCATAATCTGTTGCCAACCACGACTTAAATGTATGAACGCTCTTGTGGCATTCCATACACAATAACTCTCATGCAAGTGTTTAAAAACATAAGCAACATGGCGGCGGTGGTTTAATGTGATCGTGCATGAAAATCGTATCTCGCCTAAAGTTTGAAAAATCAGACGTGTAAAAGTGCCTTAATTTGAAATGATGCCGGTGTACTAAGGGGTCAATGAAAGTCACCATGACTCTTGCAAATTCAGGGTTTTGATTTACTATTCTGAAACATGAGACAATTAAAATTTTTTAGTAATGATAAGAATCATACCTGTTGGACCCACACCTTTGACGTTAGTACTTGGTTTCGTTCATCCTGTGGGGGAAAATGCATCTTTGATTCAACTACAGTTTGTCGAGAAAATGAGAAGATCGAAAACTTATCTTTAAAAGTAAAAGCTTGAGTCAGTCAACTAACAGTTAATATACAAGAAAAGTAAAAGTTTTTCTCATAAAGTTTGATTTGATCATTTCGTTCATTTTCAACCTGAGAAACAGTTGAGATGTGATGTGTGCAGTGGAAATAAAGATGCTTTCAGGGGGAAAAAAAGGGAATTGTATGGAATACATGTATACCAAAAAATTAAATATATCGACGATTTGAAAATGGGTGAATAAATTCATTGTCGGGTAAAAGACACAATGATGGTCTTATACTGGTCTTATTCCAACCTAAGATATTTGCAACCCAATAAAAAATACCAGAAACAAGCAGGCTCTAGAACTCCAATCGTGACGTGGTTTTACCTTTTGTTTTCGTTGGAAACAACATTTTGTTTAGTCACGAGAACAGGTTCCCCCGGTTGGACTGCCTAGTTTTCCTTACGCTCGATACCGATTCCGAACATTCCGAACGACATTCGGTACCAATTCCTAACGCATTCCTAACAGCGCGTTAGGAATTGGTTTGGAAGGAATTGGTAGGAATTGGTTAGGAATTGGTTAGGAATTGGTTAGGAATTGGTTAGGAATTGGTTAGGAATTGGTTAGGAATTGGTTTGGAATTGGTTAGGAATTGGTAGGAATTGGTTAGGAATTGGTTAGGAATCACCAGTGGGTGTTAGGAATGTGATATCGGATTTCGGCAAACGTGACCTTTAACCCGAGTAAAAGATGGCGGCCTCCATGAGTCCGGCATAGCTCCATGATTCAGGTGAGAACGTATTTTTCTATCGTCAATTAATGTTCACACTTCCAAAATACATTAGGATTCATTTTTATCCGGTGGGTTATTGTTGGATGTAATTTTGGTTTACTATATGCAGAGATGTTGAGACTAGGATAAGAAAGAGCGATGTGTTTGTAGGGAAAGGAGAGTATCATACTATGCTGCGGTATAAATCAGTGCACATAACGCAATAAAGGCGAGCGCGTAGAAATAGTACCGCGTAGCTTCAGGGGGACTGACGATATCGGAAACATGAATCGCTGTTGTTTTTATGGAATGGACATGAACTTTACTGCTCTCTTTTTGGTGCTCCTGCCGTTTGTACTTGTAAGTTGTAGGCCTACGTTGTAGGCCTACATGCTTTTTTATTGTCAGCAGTCGCATGGTACTTTTTGGGGAAAGACTGTTGCAACCTGACGCCACTTTTTTCTTCATACATTTTCTCAATGAAGGTCATTCATTGCAAAAATGATGATAAGGCATCTGACTACGAATCAGGGGATTCCAGATTCGAATCCTGTATGGCGGGGTCGAATTAGAGTAAAATGTTCTCCAAATTTTAGATGGAAACATTTATACCAATTACATACGGAAGATTTTTTAGTTTTTCATCGGCAGCCCCTTGGCCCTACAGATAAGGCGGAGTCGAGAATTTTGTGGTTGACATATATTTAACTTTATACACACAATACACTTGAAAGCATTTAAGTCCTAAGCCGAATGGATAAGGCCTTTGACCATGTGTCCAAAACAGTTGTTCGTTTTTCCTTCTTTTTGACACGTCCAATTTTTTTGGACAAACACCCATTACCCTTGAACTGTGCGGTGCGTGATTCCGTGCCCATCCAGGGTGTCATACCAAACGCTGTACCTGTATTGATTTTGATAACAGTCCCGTCTGGGCCACAGTGACAAAAGTCAAGTTGTATCAACACATCCGCTTCCGTGTTTATTAAACATTCGCACCGAATTAATTAAGCACCGCAGAGGCGCGACATTAATATCTTTTTTAATGTTTAACCAGCGGTCGCATAGTTATTTGTGTTCCGTCAGGGTTGCGCCAAACGACGGCAGGTGATTTCAGCGGCGATGCACACCGGGTGAAGTGTGTAAATCACCGAGGGTCACGCCTCGATGCGGCCCGGTAATATATCATCCGTGTTTCCTGGGGTGAGAACCCTTCCGTGTCGGTCATGGTCACGGAGATGATGCGCAAGATATTAGTCTAAAGGCCCCATGGGAAACCAAAATGTATTTGGGATTGGTAAATTTGTGGCTTCGCTGTCTTAGTACCTGAACATCCGGATAGGAGCTAATCTTGGAAGATAATGAGAAAGCCTACAGATGGTATTCATGGACCCCCAAAAACTCCAAGGCAATTTAACTTACTGTTTTATTGTTTTGACGCCTACGTTGCGTTAGATTTTGCTTTGAAATAACAAAAAAATATACTATGCTCGGTGTGCGGAAACTTTCATCTGTCAATATGAATTCGAACAAGGTAAGGATAAAAGAAAAACGTGCTTAGGGCTTGATTACATTTTAAGGCCTACATAATGATTCACACGAATAACAGCAGGTTTCAGGGTGCTAAATTTATGATAATTCAGTGAAATACTGCCAACGTTACCAGTTAATGTAAAATGCCCGTTTGTATAGTCAATCGTCCAGAGTTGTAACGAGTCACTGATTTTTGTGACTCGAGTCGAGTCGAGTTATTTCGAAGAAGTGACTCGAGTCGAGTCGAGTCATTCGGTCAAGAAGGTCGAGTCGAGTCGAGTCGAGTCAAATATATAGCTCGAGTCAATGCGAGTCACGAATATTTGAACACTATATACCAAAACTTATAAAAGGAGGGCATACATTTAGCCGGTGTTTGAATCCAAGAGCTTTATAAGAAATCGCCCAAAGCCAATGATGAAACAACGAATTAGAAAATGTATTTAAGGTCCGGTTCCTGGATAGTATTTTGTGCGTTCTAGAGCCATGAGGTGGAAGTCAGTGACACCTTGTATGTTTGTACATGACAAGCGGCTACTGTTCCGTACTGTATTCGCAAAGGGATGTGAACATATATTTTTTGCACCGTAGGTCATTGCAAATACATTTCGCAAAGTTTTGCTTTTATTTTTGGACTCGAGTCTTGTTAGCCTTCGCTCGAGTCGAGTCGAGTCTTCTGATGAGAGACTCATTGAGTCATTCCCTCGCAGTGACTCGAGTCGAGTCGAGTCATTTACCCTTAGGGACTCAAGTCGAGTCGAGTCACCAAAAATTGTGACTCGAGTCGGGTGATTGACTCGAGTCATTACAACTCTGCAATCGTCAAAGACCTATGATATCACTTACCACATCGACTATCTGTGAGATAGCCAAGCTGAAGTTGATATATAACTTGTCCAGGGCTCCCTTGACTGGTAAGGCCAATTTGCTGTAATCCTCGAATAGATACTTCTGTAGTCGTTCCTCCCCCTCCGATGCTCCAACTCCTGCATCAGAAAAACAAGAACCAGAAAAAAACCCGATGATTAAAGCTACAATTAATGAATTGGTTCATAAGTGCTCGATGTTGTTTGTCCGCTTCCACTAGAAATATCAGTATTTCTCCAAAAAAACAATTATACAGGGATTGAAAGATTGGCCAATACATTTTCTGAAGAGTGATGTAACCAAAATATTCGTCATTCACACACCCCTTTTTAAGTATTACTTTCAAGTGGTCGAGGTGCTCGGTTCGCCTTGAGGACCCTGAAAACAAAAGGACGTCGAAAACAAAATCCGACCCCGCCAGGATTCGAACCTGGAATCCCCTGATTCGTAGTCAGATGCCTTATCCGTTTGGCCACGGGGCCTTCCACATACGTTGGTACAATGTATCGTTTGAAATTGATGAAGTAATGGATCTATCTAAAATTAGTGCAAAGGCATTAATCTGCAAAACGACCCCGCCAGGATTCGAACCTGGAATCCCCTGATTCGTAGTCAGATGCCTTATCCATTTGGCCACGGGGCCACCCTGACCCACGTTTATCTGTGCAAATTTATAGTGTGAAATAAATGAAATAATACATCGATTTTGAAATAAGTTCCAAAACATCCATCTGCAAAAGCGACCCCGCCAGGATTCGAACCTGGAATCCCCTGATTCGTAGTCAGATGCCTTATCCATTTGGCCACGGGGCCACCCTGACCCACGTTTATCTGTGCAAATTTATAGTGTGAAATAAATGAAATAATACATCGATTTGAAATAAGTTCCAAAACATTCATCTGCAAAAGCGACCCCGCCAGGATTCGAACCTGGATACGTTGGTACAATGTATCGTTTGAAATTGATGAAGTAATGCATCTATCTAAAATTAGTGCCAAGGCATTAATCTGCAAAACGACCCCGCCAGGATTCGAACCTGGAATCCCCTGATTCGTAGTCAGATGCCTTATCCATTTGGCCACGGGGCCACCTACGTATGTCGGTACAAACGTTCTGTGTGAAATCGATGAAATAACGCATCTGTATATAAATAGGGTAAAAACATTATCTACAAAACGACCCTGTCGGGATTCGAACCTGGAACCCGCTGATCCATATAGTCAATATCCGTTGAGCCACGAGGCCTGAGACGTCAGTTATTAAGTCAATTGCTTCATATACATGGCAATTTTTTTTTTTTTTTAAATTTAACGTATGTAATGCAGGTGGTGAGCCAGACAAAATTCATTTTAACTCTTCTGTAGGTCATTATTTGCATAGGTGTGGATGTCGCCCTCTACAACCCATATAATAAGAGGATGTGGTTTATTTCCCACGCAGGATCAGCTTCCCCCGAATTAAGGGAGCAATGGCCGTATACTCCTTTAACTTTCAATCAGACGGCGTCCCATTTCCGTATTGACCTCTGCCAGAAGGGGTCTTCTTCCACAATTCGTCAATTTTAGGAGGCAACCTCACCGGGGTCCGGTTACAATTTCCCCCGTTCACTGCTCTTACTCCTTTCGCACTTGGGGCGCAATCCTTTTTTCGTCCCTTCCTCATCCCGATCTTTGGCTGTATCGTCTTTCATTTAGACGCACGCTATACGAAATTCCAGCCGTATTTATTGACATTCCTTGCCTTGTGTCTCGCTTTGGCACTGTTTGGTTTTGGCCCGGAATTTGCCGGTATTTTGTTAAGAACAATGACTTTGTTATGCACTTCTGTATTCATTTCGATCGATTTTATTTATCATGTCGACCATGAAATTGGCGTTTTCTTAACAACTAAACCCCGCTGTTCTGTTTGAACGAAAATGAAAAGACGATTGCAGCTGCAAGGCACAAATAAATACATAATCGTAAGCTCTAAGAAACAGTACCTTTTAGTGAACGGTAACCCCCCCCCCAAATATGCGTGTATGCTGTTAGTGCATACACTTTTCAACTTCACAGTACAGTAGAAAAATAACACACAGTTACAAAAGCATCATTTACACACATTATATTCTGTTCAGCCCGTTGAGTTGAGCGAATGGTAATAACGCAGTATCGATGCATTAAATTGGCCACCAGGGGTACTCGTGTTTTCTTTGCTAGGCTTGTAAGGACTTGGTATGTTTGCCTAAGGCCCACATTAAGACTTCAAACTGTCCATCAGGTGTTTTTTGAGAGCACATTTCCCGTTTCCAAAATTTGAAAGAAAAGGGTAATTAAATGCCGGAAAACATCTCTCGAGTTGACAGGTAGAAGGAGTTATTAGAAGAGGAGAAATCCTGAAAGTTCCGCACTAACAACATGCATTGCGTCTTGTTTAATTAAAACATCTGCGTGATACACGTCTGCATGTGGCTGACGAGGGCCAAGAATATCTAAGATTATGCACAAGATAATTGATGAGTAATTAAAGGCATATAGGATCGTTTGCGTTTCGTGCAATTTGTTTGTTTCCTATGATAAAACCACTCAAAATCCAACGAGGAATGTTTAAATCCTAACCTGTTGAAGTTTCAATTCAGTGGATTTTGCATTTTTTCTCGAGAAAACAGAGAAAAAACAAATGCACAACCTTTTGATCACGAAACACGATGTCGTCTACAGCACTTCTATTTTAAAGAAAATCAGCCATCATCTACATTTCTTGATTTCTTTTAAATTACAGCAAGCCAGATGGAATAATTTGGTAGGTTACTCTTGGATAAATGCACATGATCCTACACAGCTACAGGGTGAGTAAAAAAAAAAAACGAAACCCAAATGTCGGGACCTTTGTTTTAGTGAAGTTTTGCATGTAGCACTTTCAAAATCTAGGATACAAAAGCCCACTTCATAAGCTTTCATTTAATACAAGAATCATTTAAATCACTCATGTACTTTTCAAGTTACGAAATTTGAAACGCAACCACCGTTTTAAAGTTTTGTCCACGGATCAAACGAAGGTAAGTGTTCTTTCAACAAAACCAAAACAAATCACAGGATGTTTGTGAATTGTTTTCGTTTTGCTGAAAGAACGCACACTTGTTTGTGATCCGTGGACAGAACTTTAAAACGGCGGTTGTGTTTCAAATTCCGTAACTTAAAAAGTACATGTCTTGAGTGATTTTAATGATTTTTGTACTAAAAGAAAGCGTATGAATTGGGCTTTTATATCCTATATTTTGAAAGTGCTACATGCAGAACTTCACTAAAACAATAGTCCCGACATTTGGGTTTCGCTTTTTCTTGGCTCACCCTGTATGCCTTAAAACGACAGCCTCATACGCTAGGTTGAGTTGGGGAATTCGGTGGGTTGTTTTTTTTTTTGGGGGGGGGGGGGGTTGTTACCAAACGAATCCCCGTTCGCCGATGAGTCCCTATTTTTCATTCACGTCATGCGTGCCCGCGTATACGACCGCTGACGGCATATATTATATCCCATATGCCTTGAAAACGTCCTGCTAATTTGGTACGATAAATGCATGCTGCGTACGTTTATGACGTTGCATACATACTGCTACAATTTCATAAAGCGAAGATAACATTCATGAAAGGTTCCACTTCGGGGGTTGACGACTCCCTTTCCCAATTTCAGGTCGGTGAACGGGCCCGGACGCACGTGCAGTTGGAACTGTTATCAAAACAGCCCGACTCATGAGAGATTACAGTTCATAGTGTCACCGCGAACCGTCTTCCGTCGAGTAAAATTTCCCTCAGATTGTCATTTCACGTTATAGCCAGCAATCGTTCAAATATAGATCCATGACGGTAATGGTTGTGGTCAGCTGATTGATCCATTCATCACATACTCATTTCTCATGCAGTTCATCATACACATACTGCAGCATGGATGATGACAGCTGTGATGACAGGAGTCATATAAGTTCAAACCAATCCCTTGAAATGAGGGTAGTAATGAAATATTATTTTCGGTCCAGGAAAAGGCTATTCGTTAAATGGAAACAGACTGAGAGAATGATTGAAAAGCAGCTATACTAGCAGGGCCAATGCATACAATGAAAATGAACTCCGTGCATAGCACCTTTGGGTCTCTTTCACTTTCCTTTTTCCAATCTCTGAATTACCATTTTAAAGGGTGTTTGGGGGCTTTTATGTTTTTGTGCTACATGCGATTTCCCTCATAACAAAAAAAGCAAAATAATACTGCAGTTCTAACGTCAGTGCTTTCATTTTATTACTTCTCTTGTTGTGTTTATTTGTGGATTTGGGGTCATGACCATCGATCAATGAGTAGCCTAGGCTTAAACTGTGTTGCACTAAATGATACAAAGTGTAACACTGACATCACAGTGACATTGCAATAGCAGCGCCATTGGTTGTAAAAGCAGGGGCATTGGGGAAAAATAATAAAGGAAAAAAAATCAGTTTGTTATTATTCAGAAAACGTGCACAGTATTCAAGTTAATTTCATATTAAAAGTACAGTTAATTACAGTTAATTACATCCGCAAGTAGGCAAATGATGTACGCAAAATATGTTCTGAAATCAGCAAAAACTAAAAAAAGACACAACTGATCATTCGAAGCAAGCCACCGAGCTGAATATTGAAAGCATTAACAAACCTTTAAGCAATTAAGTTGACATATAGAGTCAGCGAAAAATGTCCACAGATTGAAATTCGCAACATTACTTAAAAGATCATTCATAAGACAAAATGATTTACCAAACAGTCGTATGATATACGTGTATAGGGAAGCGTCTTTTAGGAGGCACCGTATATTGCATTGGAGCACTGCCCAACTTTGTATAGGGAATGTGTTACAACTTTACAAAACGCTACCGGTGTACGTGTACGCGCGAAATCTTCCTTTTCAGTCTGCACACCAAAGTGAGTATCGTATAGAACGATTTGCGCTCTAAAATTAACCTTTTTACTTAGGAAGACCAGACTTTGTAATTGCTGTACATTCTCATTTCATGGTGTCACTATCCCTGCCACTACTGGTCGAAGTTTTAGTTTATAGTATGTCTCTAAAAAGGAGTGATTTTGAGGTGAATTTGTATCATCTTAATCCGAAAAGTTCCACGTGCAAATCTCATGTAGGTTGTTGTTTAGGCCTACAACTGTTTCATGTTGGGTTTATGTGGCGACTGCTGTATGTTTTACACTTGCGTCTCGATCTTTGCCTCCAATACTGTACTTTTATCAGGTGTAATCTGGAAGGCGGAGTCCACACAGTCGTACACTGACCTGACGTAACGGGAACTTTATAACTATTGGACAACTTACGACTTTATAAGAACTTAAATCATAGCAGTTGGAATTAGACTTTAGGAACTTTACTTTATCCACTTAGAACTTGACAATATGGAATTACATGTAAAATTAAGAATTGGGAGTTTGAGTGTAATTTGACTGGAAATTAGTTTTGTGAGCTTAAATTGAGATTAATGTCAAAAACCAGAAATTTTGTTAAGTCTTTGTGAAAGAACAAGTTTTGGAACAAGTACACTTTGACTCCTGTTTTCATTCTGTTTGTCTTTGTTGCCTTGGAGTCCTTAAATCTAATTTGAGGGGCCCTCCTTAATGGCGTACCGCTACAAAGTGGCGTTGTAGACAGGATATTTACCTACTAAAGCATTTTTTCTGCCATGTCTACTCGTAACGCTTCACATGTATAAAGCTTCACCTGCATAAAATGCACATAAATAATACAAATAGAATAGTGCATATTGCCTTTCCCAACAAGAGCAACGCTTTGCGCTTTTTTTCCCCACCGAAAATCGATTCATGTCCTTTAGCTCAGCCGCGCAGGCAATACCCGGGCAAGTATTAATTTACATCATACACACGGTATTAAACTGAAGTGTATGCTTTGGCAATCGATTAGTATTTTTATTTCCCGCGGTATATTTTCCCGCGCTTTTCCCCCGACGGGAAAGGAAAAAAAAGGCCAGTCGTGGCACGCCAACTCGCACACGCTTTTACACACACGCATCGTTTGTCGAACGATATTCCCATTGCTGGTAACGAGCCTGAGGCTTGTTTAGGCGCGCACTGCCCGTAATCAGAAATGACACTCCAGAAATTATCCCGCCATTAATTTGATTATGTAATAAACGGCCGCGGCGCGTCAGGTGCGGCCTTTCAGCAAGAATCAATCAGAGGCTAGCTGGTGAGGCGCAGCTGCCAAACAAAACCAATTACCGTGAAAGGAATAAAAGTTTTGATGCGATTTGGTAATTAACCTCACAATGAGAATCGGTTGTTCTTTTATTTCCGTAGGTTGTCATCAGACGTAAATCGGATTTTGTTATTTTAGTTTGACCTCTAAAATGTTACAATTTACAAGTAGTTTTGTCGTGGGATTAACCTTGCTATTGTATTTTATATCAAACAATGCGCACTGGCAGTAGGTATGTGTACGTGTACGAGCATTACATTCACTGTGTGGACTTCCTAAGAAAAGATGTCCACTTCCGAAGAAAAGATGTCCACATAACCCTGTCTGGAAAACAGATTAAGAGACATTTTTGGGTTAGATTTATCTGTGGCAAAATGAATAGAAACACTAAAGGGAATCATAGAAAAAAAAATGGGTTGAAAGAGTTTTCACAGTGTGAGTAAAATGAGATTTTTTTCACAGGTTTTTCT